CGATGGCTCCTGCACAGAAACTGTACCTCATCAGATACGGGTCAGTTATCCATCCCTCACTTCCTACCCACTGACGAGGCGGTGGAGGATCCCTGGCCAGCACCTCTAACAGAGCCTTCAAGTCACCAGAAGCTGTGAATGCCACAACAACCATCGCTGTTGACCTGCAGAGACGTTTTAGTAAAGTGATTTTCATATTTTCAAACGTAATTTATTGAAATGTATTTTCAAAATGTACCACTTTCTATTAACAGTCTCACATCCTTAAAGTAACAAATGATAATAAAATATACAAAACCATCCTAATAAAAGTGCTGTAACTGTGCTTTAAATGCCTTTAGAAAGTCTAAAAACATAATAAAAGCACTGTAGAAACGTGGTGTTGATTTGAGTATTCCCCTTTTTATGAAAAAAAGAGATAATTTTTTGGGTATTGCTGTATAATAATATAATTTCAAAGCGCAACCCATAAACAATCACATTCACATATGAGTATCAGTTCTTCTAGTTTCCCGAGTACTGTATATGAATACAAACACTTTATTATTTCAGATAAAAAAAATCTACTATAATTGTCCTTATAATGTCAGTGCAGTGGATTCACTTCAAAACTAACACACAGTGAAAATCGTAGAAACCTGCGAATGACATCAGCTACTCTCTGGATCCTGCTGAGCGGGTCGGTTCGGAGTAAGGATACAGAATATTCCACACAGATTCCCTCTCTTTGAGCTGCTGCAAGAAAAGACGCCATCCCATAATTTCCATAATCTGAGTCAGAGCGGACAGCTCCTATCCAAGTCCAGCCAAAGTGTTTCACCAGCTTGGCCAGTGCATCAGCCTGGAACTGGTCACTGGGAATTGTTCGGAAAAACGTTGGGAACTGCTGCTTGTCTGACAGACAGGCACATGTGGCAAAGAAGCTGACCTAAAATAAGAAAATTACATTGGTTTCCTAAAATTAATTTGAATTCTATGTAATATCAGCATCTTTTTTTCTTCTTTGTATCAAATTCAAACTATTACATTTGTAATGAGTTAAAAGGCGAAAAATGTTGTGAACACACACGTAGAGACTTCACCTCTCCGTAAATGCAGACTGCTTACCAGAGGCACATTGAAGGACCCGATGATGCGTGATATACTGATGGATGCTGAAGATGAAGAGTCTCCAACAACACCCATCACCAAACCAGATCGAGAACAGTTGCTGCCTTTGTGAAACACAGGATCCTGCCCATTTATTAGCTGAAAGGCCGCATGAGCTGCTACAAGCACTGACGCACAAGTATCATGGATCTGATATCCAAGTTTGATGCCTGGAAGCAGCTCTGTGCTGTTGTTGATCTCCTCGATAGCAAAGATCATTGCTCGAGAATAACGCAGGTCCTCGGCACTGAGACTGCACAGGATAAATCACAACATATTTGACAGTTGGATTACTACAAAGAATAATAACAATTTTAAATTAACCAACATACTATGTAGCTCATATACAAACACTAAAGGTTATTGGACACTTGATGAGTTCATTTGAATAAAAAAAAATTTACTCACCCTAAATGAGAGCCTCAGCTGTGTTTGTACAGAATTTAATTGTATTGAATAAAAAACAAAGAAAAAAAATGCTTCTGCTTTTTTATAATTAAAACCACTCAAGTAACTTTGTTTTTTCTTGGTGATAAAGATTTCAGATGAATTTCCAACTTGTTCAGTCTTTTCAAAAAATAATCATAATCTTTATCATATTTCCATAAGATCACAGCCAACTTTCAAACAAAGCCATTTCCCGTCATTTAAGAACCCATTTAGCCAGCCCCAGTCTTACTAACCTGCCTGTGCAACTTGGAGGCTCCGGCTTGGTGCTGTAGTTATAAACCTTTGTTTTCACATTGTTGTGAAGGAGAAGAGAACCTCCTAAAACAAGGTCCCCATCCAGTGAGAACACAGGTAAACGCGGGGCACCCTGCAGATTGCATGTTATAGATGAAGCCTCTGTGGGAACACCATCACCAGTGAGAGCATCTAAAGGCTCGACCACTCGTTTCAGACTATCCAGAGGATCCACCATCACTTCAAACAAACCCAGTACTAATTGCACACCAATGAATACAGACCTGATCTCCATTCCTCATGTGTATTTTTAGCAGGTGCAAGTGGTTTTTATTACTTTCTGAACTTCCACTGAGTATCAAGGGATTGTTCCACACAAACAATTCAATTCAGTAATATTTTATTAATCCCAGAGGGAAATTGATTGCTGTAGTAGCTCAGAACAATAGTAATAATCGAGTCGTCAAAGAGTTGTTGTATATTACAATGGCTGTTGGCAGGAAGGATCTCCAGTAGCGGTCAGTGTTGCAGCAAAACTGAAGAAGCCTCTGACTGAAGACACTCTTCCGTTGTCGAACAGTCTTGTGAAGAGAACGCTCAGGGTTGTCCATAATTTTCTTGATTCTCTGGAGAATCCTTCTTTACATTATCTCCTCCAGTGGTTCCACAGTCGTCCCCAGAACAGAACCAGCCTTTTTTATTAGGCTGCTGAGCCTTTTCAGGTCCCTGCTTCTGATGCTGACCAGCACCTGATTTATCATTGCCCATTATGATCGATGGAAGAGATGGTTTGAATTTCCGCTTTCTCTGTCTCCGTTTTGCTCCCGCTCTGTGCCCACGCTTCTTGCATTTTAGCGTTTTAACTCATTTGGGATTTGTGGCTTCAGTTGAGGTATTATTTCAACCTTCCCAATGTTAATCAGCTGCTCCCGATTGCAAATCAGCTTGTTACCATGGTTACGCATCATAACAAATGCTCAAAAAGTGAAAAAAGTGAAAAAATTGCAGTAAAATCCTCTAAGCTTCACAGCACCAGAAACAGAAAAGTAAAGTGTCCAAAAAAAATAAAAAACAATAAAAAAAAACAACAACAGTTTTTCTTGAGAAACTAGAAGAAAAAATATCCCAAAAAGGCTAAACTTACATATAGTCAACAGAGCTACTCCAACATGCAGCCACCCAGAGCAGCGCAGTTCCGGAAGACAAGACAACCTTCATCTGCTATCTTTAGTTACGCCTTTGATGTTATTTGGACAAGATTTCCTCTGCGTCTATTTGTGTCTAACTTTTGTGTTTTAAAATCCTCCCTGAGCATCAGAAACAATATTTATTTAACTCGCACACACTAGTTTTATTCTTATGGTCCTATTCTGGACCGTGAACTCTACCTTTCGCTGGAGCGGTTCGCAGCCAAACGTGGCACAGCTGGGATGAGAATCTGGTTCTCCAAATCCAAGTCCATGGTCTTGAGTCGTGAAATGGTAGAATGCATTCTTCCAGGTCAGGGTTAAGGTCCTGCCCCAGGTGGGGGGTGTATCTCGGGCTCATGTACACGAATGGGGGAAACATGGATCGGGAGATTGATAGGTGGATTGGTGCTGTGTCTGCAGTGATGCGGGCGTTATACCGCTAGATTTGAGAACATGTCACTCAGACAGCTTCTATATTCAAATTTTTGACCCAGGTAAATTGTTAAAGCTTCTGTAGTAAATCATGAAACATTCACCCCTTCACTCTGGCATCTTTCCTGATCCGCTTCTCTCAGAACCCAAAACCTGTGTTACCAGAAGGAACGAGAGAGCACTGAATACTAGTCGCCATTTTCTAGGTCCAAACGTCTTGACTTCAAATGTTTTTTTGGGTGGAGACTCTGGTGGTTTTTCCTAAAGTTGAAGTGGTAGCAGCCGACTATTTCTCCTTCTCTGATATTATTGAGCAAAGACACTCACACACCAGTGGTGTTCTGTTATCAAATGTGTGAGTGTGTAATGAGTGGAGGACCCAGGGAAGAACAGAAGTGCAGCAGTTCAACGAGATCGACAACTAGATGGTCCAGTGGTTGCCTTTGGTCTGAAACTTATTTAGCTGAGGTTTTTACTAGGGATGAGCTGGATACTCGTTTCAGATGAGTATCCGGTACGGATAAAGCATTTTTGACAAATACGAGCATGAGACGAGTAAACCTCGTAAATATCTGTAATCGTGCTGAAGGAAAATCCTCATTGGGTAACTGACTGTCTTCACGCTCTGTGATTGGCCAGTCACATAGAGCGCCCGCCCCTCCCTACACACAAAACTCTCTAGCCGGCCGGGAGCGCTGTCCGTCCGGTTCATCCACACACACACAGACAGTAACGGATCTCGCTTTGATTGCTTCACTGTTGCTCACGTTTCTTCAGTTTTCCCTAGGTTTTCTTCAGCTCGCCTCTTTTTCGGTTGAATATTTAAAGTAACTTTTTTCGTAACTTACATGGTGCATTTGACAAGACAGAGCCGACGTGCTGCATCAGTCACTCACTACCTCCACTCCGGTCGGGTTTTTTATTTTTTTTACTCCATCTCTCTCCCTCTCACCCTCTCTATCTCTCTCAGACACACACACCTAAATCAACATTGTTTTGTTTAACTTTGTGTGGCAAAATGCCAAGAACGTTAAGAAAAAAAATCTGTTTAATCAAATTAAAATAAAAAATATACATAAAGTTGTGTCTGGTCCTAGCTTTTCACATTTCTTAGTTCCTACTGCATGAGTTCAGATGCATTAATCCATGCACTTAAATATTAATGTTCTAATTTTATTGAAACACTTGTTCTGTAATAGTTCCTTTACTATTGTGATCAAAAATATTTAATCTCAATTCTGAGGCTGCTCTGTAAATAGTTTTCAAATGAACAATACACATATCAACTTCCGATCATTCGATATCAATTTCAGACTTAAAATAATATATTGATGTAAACCACACCCACTTCCGGTTAAACTACGCCCACTTCCGGGTTATGCCACGCCCATTCCGAGTACTGATACAGATAATTTAGTTGGTTGAACAGATACAGATAGTGGTGTACTTGCTCATCCCTAGTTTTTAGACAAATGAGGGAAAACATATTTAACATTTTTATTTATTTATTTATTTATTTTTTATTCCCACAGTAAATTCAAAGGTATCTGCATCCATCAGGTGGTGGACAGAATTTTGGGAGATACTAATAGGAGCTCTCTTTCTCAATAATATGACGGCATAAAAAAGTTGAACTTGTACAGCATGAAGACCAAATCTCTCAATGAATGTTTAAACAGTGGACGAGTTTCTGAAACATGGCATCAAAAGTTAGTAGTGTCAAGTTTATTTTAGTTGCAGTCATATTCATCTCCCCAGATGATTTAAAACCTTTTATTCTTTGCATTTAGTTTTGTCCAATAAAGATTTTTTGCAGTTCTTCTCAGGCTGAAATAAGATGATGAGACACTTTGGAGCAAATATACACAGAATCAGTCCAAAACTGGAGGCCAGAATAGCAAATATCTCCACAGCTACAGTAAATTTTCCAGGAGAGCTGACATATGCTGGGATGAAGGTGAGCCACACTGCACAGAATATCAGCATGCTGAAGGTTATCAGCTTGGCTTCATTAAAATTATCAGGTAGTTTCCGAGCTAGAACAGCTAACACAAAGCAGAAAACAGCCAGCAGGCCAATGTACCCGAGCACAGCCCAGAACCCAACAGCAGAACCTAATGCACATTCCAGGATGATCTTCTCCTTGTATGTGCTCAGATTCTTCATTGGGTAGGGAGGGCTGAGTAACAACCACACAGTACATATCAGTACTTGAACAAATGTAAAACAGACCACAGTCATTCTTTGTTGTGGAGGCCCAAACCATTTCATGACATTACTACCTGGAAGTGTAGCTTTAAAGGCCATTAAAACCACTACAGTTTTGCCAAGAACACAGGAGATACAGAGAACAAAGATGACACCAAACGCTGTGTGTCGCAGCATGCAGGACCAATCAGAGGGAGCTCCGATGAAAGTTAATGAACATAAGAAACACAGAGTCAGAGAGAAGAGCAGCAGGAAGCTCAGCTCAGAGTTGTTGGCTCTGACAATTGGAGTTGTTCTGTGATGAAAGAAAATAGCTGCTGTTATGATGGCCAGACAGGCCCCACTAACAGAGAATGCAGCCAGGATGATTGCCAGGACTTCATCATAGGAAAGAAACTCCACAGGTTTGGGGAAACAAGCGTCTCTTTGTGCATTAGGCCACAATTCACTGGGACACGGGGAACAGTCTGGAGAATCTGCAAGAAATATCTGTTAGCAACGGTATATTTAATACTTTTGATAAAATTAACCATTTTACTTTACCTGTTGTGTTACTAATCTCTCCTTCAGGACATGTTATACAATCATAGCAGCAGATGGGTTTTCCTTTCTGCAGGACTTTACGACTTCCTGGAGGACAACTCTCAGAACACACTGAAACTGGGACCTGTTAAATTAATTAATTGTATTCATGAGTTCATGTAACACATGCATAACTATATTTTTGCTCCTTACTTGTGTGCCACCATGCATCCAGGTTATTTTCTTGTTGAATTGCAACTCCTGTTCTTTAGGCAGTGATGCATCATAGTACCCTACTGTTACCAGCTCAATAACTCCACTCTCACTCTTCTGCCAGTTGACCAGCTCATAAAAAGCTACAGAATCCCCGTTAGCATCAAACGACACAGGATAACCGTTGCGGGAAAACTTGACTTTCTTAAGCTCATTTAAAATCTGTGAAATAAAAGAGAAACAGGGAAATGGAGTGGAATGTTTCATTAATACTACAGTAATAGTTCTGGTTCCTTTTTATCAGAGCTGACCTGTTTTGACTCCACTTTTTTGTCTTTTTCACACTGAGTGGAAACGTTTGTTTCCTGACACACAGCATTGTGAATAGCATGAGCTATAGCATAAACAGCCTTGTACACCATGTTCGTGTTTCTTAACTGAGATGTATCAGTGTACGGGTTCTTGAGATTTTTTATGTCTTCAGTTCCATCGCAGTTTCTCTTTTGTGGATTATCATCTACTAACAAAAATTTAAAAGCACATGAATTAATTATTCTGATAATTATGACAGTATTGCCCTCATCTTGTTTTTTCAAAAATAAGGTTTTACATTTTGAGACGGGCAGATCATCATTATAGTGATTGAATGAGAATGCAACATGAGGAATTAAATGTTTAAAAAAGCAGATTTTCATGTTTTTCTTTCTTCTTTTTTCATCTGATTACACAAATGTGTATGATCACAAAAAAAGCATGTATTTTTTATTTTTACAAATAAGTCTTACTTTTGGTCAGAGTGCAGTTAAATGCATTTTCCCAGAATTCAGTAAGCACTGAAGAGGCAGCTACATCGGCAGGAGAAAGATCCAGCAGTAACTCTCTTAGACCTGGGATGACAGAGTTTTGAAATGCAACTCCAATGGCTCCTGCAAAGAAACTGTAGGTCATCAAGTAAGGGTCAGTTATCCAGCCCTCACTGCCTATCCACTGTCGAGGTGGTGAAGGTTCCCGAGTCAACTCCTCTAGCAGAACCCTCAAGTCACCTGAAGTTGTGAAAGCCAAGACAACCATTGCTGTTGACCTGCAGAGACATTACAGTGAATCAGTTAAAACATTTCAAAGTATTTTAATTCAAGTCAATCGATACTAGCTGCTCCTCTTTATAACAAAATTAATCTTGAAGCAACAAAATTAAACTTATAGAACCAGTCGATTTAATAAAATGAACATAAGCTCTGTTCTTTTTTTAACCCTTTGATGCATAATGGTCACTACAGTGGACAGGTACTCAAAATTGTTATTTATTTGTTTTTGCTATTAAGCACAGCTGTTGAAGACTTTATTGCATTTGAGCCCCTCCATTTGGACTTCAGTAAGCCAAGCCGACATATTTCATGTTCAGAATGCACGCCGTCCACTGAGGTGGACATGTAATAAATTATTTGTAAATTATAACATTTTACAAATAATATTTGTTGAAATTTGTTTCATTCACACCCAAAGACCAATGAAAAAAACTGTTTAAAAAATCATGGTTGAAGATTTCATAATTCATGCATCAAAGGGTTAATGTTGTGTCGCTATGCTGTAAATGCTCAGTAAAAAGTATTAAAAATGACAAAATCGCTTGTCTTTCAGATATATATATATATATATATATATATATATATATATATATATATAAACAAGAAAAAATGGATCCGCATCAAAAATTTAATCAAAGAAATTGAATCAACGATGTACCTGCGGATGACATCAGCAACCCTCTGGATCTTGCTAGGCGGGTCGGTTCGAAGTAAGGATACAGAATATTCCACACAGATTCCCTCTCTTTGCACTGCAGCAAGAAAAGACGCCATCCCATAATTTCCATAATCTGAGTCTGAGCGGACAGCTCCTATCCAAGTCCAGCCAAAGTGTTTCACCAGCTTGGCCAGTGCGTCAGCCTGGAACTGGTCACTGGGAATTGTTCTGAAAAAAGTTGGGAACTGCTGCTTGTCTGACAGACAGGCACACGTGGCGTAGTAACTGACCTAAAATAAGAAAATAAAGTGTGGGTGCAGCATGAATTCTGCATATTATCTGCAGTTTTTGTTTACTTTCTTTGCAAAATATTCTTTTATTTTGCCAATCACAAAACATTTCACTCAAATACACACACACACACACACACACACACACACACACACACACACACACCATTATCAGTAAAACACATTTTAGTAAAGTCTTACCAGAGGAACATTGAAAGATCCAATGACACGTGACAGGCTGATGGATGTTGTGGACATAGCATCACCAACAACAGCCATCACCATACCAGATGTCGAACAATTATCATGGTTGTAAAACTGAGACCCCTGACCATTTAACAGTTTAAAGGCTGCATGGACAGCTACAAGCACTGACGCACAAGTATCGTGGATCTCATATCCTAGTTTGATGCCTGGTAGCAACTCAGTGCTGTTGTTTAGCTCCTCAATAGCAAAGATCATTGCACGGGAATACTGGAGGTTCCGTGCATCAAGGCTGCATAAAAATCAGGTTAGAGTTGTCATTTAAGCTGCGCAGAGAAAGAGAAGGAAGAGACAGGAAAACACATCCTAAAACAATTAACATGCATTAAAGCTCATCAAATAAAACAAAATAATTTGTTGCACAACTGGACGTACACTAGATTCAATAAATCTGTTGTTAACATGTGAAGTCAAAAATGTTGCTCAACGATAAAGTCCACGCCTTAAATTAAAATCAATTGTAGTTTAATGTCATTAAGTTGTGTTAAACATCAAGTTAAATTGAGCTTATAAACTCTTCCATTAATAAAATCGCTCAATTACATTTTAGCTTATTGTCATTAAATCAATATAAGGGTGTTATAAAGTACACATATTTAATATTATTTAAAAATACACATATACCTCATTTTTCTACACACAGAAGTTCATCTTATTTTCTTTCAGCTGTATATCGGATCTCCTATAAACCACGCCTGCTTCTTACTGACCTTCCTGTGCATCTCGGAGCATCAGGCTTTATTGTATAGTTGTAAATATCTGTTTGCATTTTGAAGTGAAGGAGAAAAACACCTCCAATAACAAAGTCCCCATCCATTGAGAATACAGGTGAACGAGGAGTACCCTGCAATAAGCATTTCATTGAAAAAGCCTCATCATTAAATCCAGTCAGAGCCTCTGTAGACTCAATCTTTTGCTTGAGACCATCCAGAGAACCACTAAACACAACAACTGAGATCAGCTCCAACAAATTAACCAATAATCTCAGAGCCAAGAAAACAGATCTGATCTCCATTCCTCAATGGTATGCAGGTGCATGTGTCTTTCTAGGGGTTTATAAATGTTAGTTATGCATCAGGTGGTTGTTCATCACAAACAAGACACCCTCAATCGGCCATGTTTGGTTACTCCCTTTATGGCTTCATTAGTACCGTATTTTCCGGACTATAAGTCGCTCCGGAGTATAAGTCACACCAGCCATACAACGTATAATGAAGAAGAAAAAAAAAACATATATAAGTCACATTTTGGGGGGAAATTTTATTATTTTTCTTACAAAATCTGAGACCAAGCATTTCACATTGCAAGACAAGTACCGGTAACAATAACAGAACAAACAAACAGCTGTTGCATCAGCGGTACGCAGAAGCGCGCCACAGTCTCCCGCAGAGGATGGCGGTGCTTCAAACCCTCCCAGCGGATGGGGAGAGCTCATTCCTGGCCCGGAGCCGGACCGCAGCACCCCGCTACAGGCTGCAGCAGGTGATGGTGGTGTTGGAAACCCTCCCAGCAGGACAGGGAGCTCATTCCTGGTCCGGAGCCGGCCTGCAGCAGCACGGTATACATAATTTGGTATATAAGTCGCTCCGGAGTATAAGTCGCAGGACCAGCCAGACTATGAAAAAAGTGTGACTTACAGTCCAGATGTTACATGCTCTGCCCCTTTTCGGCCACAAGATGGCCTCAGTGGCTTTTGCCTCGCTGTCTCCTGTGCAGCAGGAAAATAACAAAAATAAACAATGAACAAGAGTCTGCTTCTAGACCTGCAGAAAAAGTCAAAAAAAAGCAAAAGGACAAAAAAAAAAAGGGACACAACAACAATACAACAAGATCTAGCTATCACTGCGTCAACTTGATGAGAAAATATATAATCAACATTGCTTAACTGAAGAATCACGATAATAAATCACAGTGCATTAAGTGCCCACCATAGTCTTAAGACCTGTGTTTAACGTGCCCAAGCCCATACTTTTGAGAGTACCGTGTGAGCACCTGTGTGTGTACACGCGCTTGTTTATGTAAGGTTTCTCTATAGGAGCGTCCAACAGAGAGTGTGAGGGACCACAGATCTGCCCCCCAAAGATGCGCAGGAGACGGGGGGAGCTCCAAGTCCCAGAGATCCAGGCGCTGCCCCAGAACACAGGAACCCCAAGGAGACTGCAACCAGAAAGGCCCCCGCAAAAATTTTCATTACTTAATAAAAGCAGTAGAATAGTTTTCAATTTCTTTTTGATTTTGAAATCCCTGAAAAACAGAACATTCATCTATTTACTTTTTATAAACACCGTGGATCTAACCCTACTAATTTACATCCACTAACTCCAGCTGTTTGTGTAGTTTCTGATTCCTCCACCTCACTCAGCATGGCTCTATTAAATTCCCGCTCTGTTCACAATAAGACCTTCCTGCTCAATGATCTAATTCTCTCTAAAAACCTGGATTTTCTGTTTCTGACTTTTCTGACTGAAGTTTGGCAGCAAACATCTGATTATTCTGCTCTGATTGAACTTTGCCCGAGTGGTTATTCTTTTCTTAGCCAGCCCCGGGGTTCTGGTCGTGGTGGAGGCCTAGCTGTTGCTTTCAGAGACCATCTTCCATGTAGCTCTACAACCTCTGGTCACTTTGCTTCCTTTGAACTGCAGCTGATTAAAGTCAGGCGTAAGGACCCGTTCTACTGTGCTGTGGTCTATCGTCCACCTGGTCCAAACAGTTCTTTCCTTCAGGAGTTTAGTGACTTTCTATCCTCCACTGTGAAGCTGTCCAGACTGGTGATTGTGGGTGACTTTAACATCCACGCTGATGATCCCTCTGATCACTTTGCCATGAATTTCTCCAGCCTTATGGACTCCTTCAGCTTTACCCAGCATGTTTCTGGCCCCACACACACCAGGGGGCACACTCTAGACCTTGCTTTTACCCTGAGTCTAAATGCTGACAGTGTTTGTCCTGAGGATGTTTATAATTCAGATCACCATTGCATTTTCTTTAACTTGTCAGTTTCTGCGTCCCCACCTCCTGCTCGCCGTATGGTTAGTTCTCGTTTTCTTAATGAGAGCACAGCTAGCAATTTTTCTGCTGCTTTTGATCCACCCTGTTCTTCTGATAACGACCCAGATTCCTTAACTTCTCAGTTCAACGAGCACTGCCTCTCCATTCTGGACAACATCTGTCCTGTCAGAACCAGATCAGTTCCTGCAGTGAACCCTACTACCTGGTTTAATGACAGCCTTCGCAGCCTGAAGTGCCAATGCAGAAAAATTGAGCACTTGTGGAAGAAACCCATCTCCACGTCCATCTGCTGCACCTAAAGGATCTTCTGACATCCTTTAACTCTGCAGTGAGAGACGCTAGGGTTTCCTATTTCTCCAACCTGGCGTCCCAGAGCAAAGGGAACCCCAAGGTGCTGTTTAACACCATCAGCAGTATCGTCTCTCCTGCCTCTCCTACAGCCTCCATCCACTCTGTTACAGACTGTGAGAACTTTCTGTCTTTCTTTGTGGACAAAGTCAATAAGGTTAGATCTAGCATCTCTCCTTCAGTCTTATCGCTGCCTTTCCCGACTCCAACCAGGCCCATCATCCTAGATAGCTTTGCTCTTGTTTCTTTGCCTGAGTAAACCAAACTAGTTAACTCTATGAAGACCTCTGCATGCCCCCTCGACATCTTACCCTCATCTTTGTTTAAAAGTGCTTTTCAGTCCATCGGTCCCAGCGTGCTCTCTAGAATTAATGCTTCTCTGGTCTCTGGTCAGGTCCCTGCTTACTTTAAGAACGCTGTAATCCACCCGCTTCTTAAAAAACCGAGTCTCGACCCCTCTCTCCACAGCAGCTTCAGACCCATCTCTAAAATTCCGTTCATCTCCAAGATCTTGGAAAAGGTTGTGGCTAAACAACTCACAGCTGCTCTTGATGAACATAACATCTATGATAGCTTCCAGTCAGGTTTTTGTAGAGCTCATTCTACTGAAACCGCTATTCTTAGGGTCTCTAATGATCTTCTGACTCACAGTGATGCAGGGGACTGTTCTGTTCTGGTCCTGCTGGGCCTGACTGCAGCCTTTGACACTGTTGACCATCACCTGCTACTGGAGAGGCTGAGAGACTGGGTCGGCCTATCAGGATCTGCTCTGGAGTGGTTCTCCTCTTATCTTTCTGAACGCTCCTTTTCTGTGGCCGTCTCCAAGTTTAGGTCCTCCACCACCTCTCTTACCCATGGTGTCCCACAAGGTTCTGTGCTGGGGGCTCTGCTTTTCCTCCTCTATCTGCTTCCTCTTCAGCACATCCTGAGCTCCTTCAAGGGGGATCTCCTACCATCTTTACACAGATGACATCCAACTGTACATCTCCTTTAACCCCGGCTTTCCACAGCAGCCGTCAGCAGCACGTTACTGCAGCAGCACATCATAGCTGCTGATAGGAACGGCTGTGGTCAACAGAACCTTTTCCACAGGAGCCGTCAGCAGCCGTCAGCAGCGCGAGTCGGCCGCGTCTCAGGAGCAGCATGTCGCGGCCTTTACGCGCCGGTTCTATTTCCTACGCGCGACGCCTCTGAAACGGGTCAAGTTCGACATTTTTGGGGAAGGAAAGACAGGAAATCGGACGCGGAAATGGAGAGAAGCTCCCGAGCTTTTCAGAATAAAGAACGTACTGCCTTCCGGTCGCTTTACTTTAAAAAAGGTTACTAACTGTGCGGCCCCGTGAGAAGTTATCACCTAGCTAGCGGTCTCCTTTGTTTTTCAGGTCCGTATTGGCGATTATAAAACGGACAGAATATAAAAACACAAACATTTTGGAGCCATGTTGTAGTTTTCTCCTGCTTGTTGTTGTGTTTACTGACGAAGTCACTCGTGTGACTTCGTGCCCTGTCGGTGACAGCTGCTCCTCTGCTGCGTCGCGTCTCGTGGGAAGGGCCAAGCAGCAGCTAGACGTGCTGCTGCAGTAACGTGCTGCTGACGGCTCCCGTGGAAACCCGGGGTAAGCCCCATGAGATGTCTAAGCTGCAAATGTTACACACCTGCTTAGACTCTATCAAAGCCTGGATGGCTGGGAGCTTTCTACTTTCTACTTAGTTAATAATTTCTACAGCTGAATGAAGATAAGACTGAGATCCTCATCTGTGCCCCAGACAAGCTGGTTCCCAAAGTCAGAGACTCTCTTGGTCAGCTTGCTTCCCACACCAAACCCTCTGTCAGGAATCTTGGCGTGACCTTTGACCCAGCTCTCATCCTGGATTCTCATGTCAGTTTTCTTGTTCGCTCTTCCTTCTTCCATCTCAGGAACGTTGCTAAGCTGAGTCCCATTCTGTCCCGCTCTGAACTTGAGACAGTTCTCCATACCTTCATCTCCTCACGCTTTACTGTAACTCTCTTTTCACGTGTCTGAGCAGAACCTCCCTGAACCGTCTACAGGTGGATCAGAATGCCTGTGCTCGGCTTCTTACCAAGTCCTCCAAACACACCCACATCATCCCGCTTCTCCTCCAGCTTCACTGGCTGCCTGTCAACTCCAGGGTTCATTTCAAGATCCTGGTTCTGGTCTATAGGGCCCTACATGGACAAGCACCATCTTACATTGGTGTTCTTCTTAGTCCCTACACCCCCAGCAGGTCCCTGAGGTCCAGTGATCAAAGCCTACTGGTTGTGCAGCGCACCAGGCTAAAGACCAAAGGTGACAGATCATTTGCTGCTGTGGCCCCGAGACTCTGGAACTCTCTCCCCCTGAGCCTGAGATCAGTGGACTCAGTGGTCTCCTTTAAAAAGCAGCTGAAGACTCACTTGTTCAAGCTGGCTTTTGTATGACCTTCTTCACCACTCTCTCTTTATTCTGCTCTCGCCACCTATTCCACCTTCCTCAGGATCCACTGATTTCCCTCTTTCCTATTCACTCTCTCTCTTTCTTAACATTTTATCTTTTAAATCGCAATTGCTTATTCCTGCTCATTTTACATATATTTTAAACATTTTCAAAATGCTTTTTTATATTTTTACAATTTTTTGTTTTTGTTTTTGTGAAGCGCCTCGTGATTTTTATCTTGAGAGGCGCTATAGAAATTATATTTTCTTCTTCTTCTTCTTCTTCTTCTTCTTCTTCTTCTTCTTCTTCTTCTATAGTGAGCAATAATTTTTAAAGTGTGCTGCCTATAATTACTTAAATAATATAAGAAATAATGTTTTCGGTAGAGCAGCTTTAAGATAGAATATTACTGAACTTAAAAATAGTAAACAAACACTATGTTAAGTGATTCTTTCACATCCAGGATCCCAAAACCGAAATTAGCCCAGACATCCGATTTAAATGTAACGGGTACATCTTTGATTACTGGTAATGTTGGCCCTGTATCCCTGTCCGCTTTTTCTGTTTTAAATAGGCGCTAGGGCAACGCAGTGCGCATGTCATTGCAACTCTGCCCCCAGAAGTAATTGTAAAACCTCAAAACTTCATTGTCCTCGCATAGACATAGGGATAAAATCTTATTATGTCACGTTGCTGCATCGATGCGGAATCATGCACGGCTGAATCGCGATGCATCTTAGAATCGATCATTTTTCCCACCTCTACTTCCCGGCCCCTTATGGGCCGGCGCTTTTAGTTTCCCTTTTGAGTGTATTTCCTTTAGTTTTGTATATATTATGACTGTCACTTTGTTTTGCTTTTCTTTCTGTAATTAAAATCCTTGGTACAGCGACACAGTACTCCGTTATTATTCAACCCACACACCAACTTTATTTCTCCCTCACAACATCTCACCTAGTGGGCTGAGGGACGTAATACCAGAAAATACGGTACATCATTTCCACTTTTCCTGTCTCTTCTCTTGTTTTTTTAAAATCACATTAAGATGCATCGAACACTCCGGATAGTTTTATTTCTATTACTAAATCCAAATCAAATATTAGATATGGAACAGGCTTCATGCTGCTGCAGGTGCAGGATTCATAATCATTAGAAAAAGCCACAGGATCAACATCCAGCTGGAACATTCTTGCATAAGATCTGCATGTTTTTCTTGATCGTGTTTCGGATCTGAGTGAGGTAATGCGTTTGGATGAGTAGTGGATTAGTCTGAGGACAGCATGGGGTCAGTCAGGAAAAGAGAAGCAGAGGTTTGTGGGCAAAACCTAGGTCAAAATCCTAAGGTCAGGGGTGTGTGAACACTCCAGATGGGTCAAGATGAGGTAATAGAAGGAACTGAAACAAGGTGAGGGACATCTTCCAACATGAGGCTTTCAAAAATCTAGAGGAAACTGGATGGATGGATGAATAGATGTTGTTTATATGGCTAGAGGAACAGGTGAGTGGCATAACTATGGCGACAGGACTTGAAGGGAGCTGGGTCATAAAATCTGTTATTTTAATGGAAATAAGCTGTTGCTTACCACACTTACCGTCACTCAGGCTGCTGTGAGGTACGGAGCTCAGGTAGCTGGGAGGGGCTTGGAGTAGAGCTGCTGCTCTACCACATCCAGAGCAGAGGTCTCCTTGAGAATCAACAGCTAAGGAGTAATTCTGTGCTTATTGTGAAATTGCAACAAGTAGGCTTTAGAAACAACATGTGGGAGGATGTCAGGACCCAAATAGGAATGCAAAAGGGTGTGGATATGGGATGTTCCATACCGAGGGAATATTATTGTGGAGAAAACATGATGAATTTTGCAGTGTAAAAGGAAAAAGTAGTTAAGATGACAGTCAGATGTGTGTTTATCAAAAGTTCTGCTCCTTGTCAGTAGTTACAATCCGACACTTTAGCAGCCAGTGTCAACAGTTAAAACTTTATAATATTGTCACATTAAAATACATAAAACCCATTTTTGGTTCATTACATATTTCTTAGAGTTCTTCTCTGGCTGTAATAAGATTATAAAACACTTTGGAGCCAGTGGAAGCTTGTTAAGCAGGTAGGTCAATCAAAAACATGATACTTTTACCACGTTCTGTAAGTTAAACATGACTTTCTTAAATCTTTTCGTCCAGAAGAAGTGTTACATTGTACTAAAATTATGATAGAAGATGTTTAATAAACAACTGTGAAGAGTTAACATTAGACAACAAGAGTCACATTAAGCACCAAGCCTTAACTCATGTATTATTTGTTCATCAAAGATTTCTTAGAGTTTTTCTCAGGCTGAAATAAGATGATGAAACACTTTGGAGCAAATATACACAGAATCAGTCCAAAACTGGAGGCCAGAATAGCAAATATCTCCACAGCTACAGTGAATTTTCCAGGAGAGCTGACATATGCTGGGATGAAGGTGAGCCACACTGCACAGAATATCAGCATGCTGAAGGTTATCAGCTTGGCTTCATTAAAATTATCAGGTAGTTTCCGAGCTAGAACAGCTAACACAAAGCAGAAAACAGCCAGCAGGCCAATGTACCCGAGCACAGCCCAGAACCCAACAGCAGAACCTAATGCACATTCCAGGATGATCTTCTCCTTGTATGTGCTCAGATTCTTCATTGGGAATGGAGGGCTGAGTAACAGCCACACAGTACAGATTATAATTTGAATAAATGTGAAAAAAACAACAGCCATTCTTTGCTGTGGAGGCCCAAACCATTTCATGACATTACTACCTGGAAGTGTAGCTTTAAAGGCCATTAAAACCACTACAGTTTTGCCAAGAACACAGGAGATACAGAGAACAAAGGTGATACCAAACGCTGTGTGTCGCAGCATGCAGGACCAATCAGAGGGAGCTCCGATGAAAGTTAATGAACATAAGAAACACAGAGTCAGAGAGAAGAGCAGCAGGAAGCTCAGCTCAGAGTTGTTGGCTCTGACAATTGGAGTTGTTCTGTGATGAAAGAAAATAGCTGCTGTTATGATGGCCAGACAGGCCCCACTAACAGAGAATGCAGCCAGGATGATTGCCAGGACTTCATCATAGGAAAGAAACTCCACAGGTTTGGGGAAACAAGCGTCTCTTTGTGCATTAGGCCACGATTCACTGGGACACGGGGAACAGTCTGGAGAATCTGAAAAGATTAATAAAAACAAATATTTGGCAATCAAAAATCAGAGTCAAATCACTTGCATTTTTAAATGAGGAAACATTTGATCTTACCTGTCGTATTACTAATCTCTCCTTCAGGACATGGTATACAATCATAGCAGCAGATGGGTTTTCCTTTCTGCAGGACTTTGTGACTTCCTAGAGGACAACTCTCAGAGCACACTGATACTGGGACCTGTTACAGAGAGAAGGGGAAGATAACAATAATAAAAAAAAATCAAAAACAGGTTTAACTATTATGTTTGAAAAAACTTATTTTGTAAATTTATTGATTAAATATGTATGTACTGCTTTGAGCAGAGTGATACTGGGACCTGTTACAAAGCTGAACACAACAGAGTTGTTACCTTCCTTATTAAGCATTTAATAAAACACTCACAATGTGTATTGGCTAAACTTACAGCAGTGCCCCTCTCCACCCAGGTTATGTTCCAGTTGATGTGAAACTCCTGTCCTTTCGGCAGTGATGCATCATAGTACCCTACTGTTACCAGCTCAGTAACTCCACTCTCACTCTTCTGCCAGTTGATCAGCTCATAAAAAGCTACAGGATCTCCGTTAGCATCAAATGATACAGGATAACCGTTGCGGGAAAAGTTAACTTTCTTCAGTTCAGTTAAAATCTGTGAATTAAAAGGATCACAAAATAGACAATACTGTTTATTAGCAACAGAAAGAGGGCCTTCCAAAGATTTGTGTAGTTTAAAGTTATGCTAACTAACCTTTTTGGAGTCTAATCTGCTGTCGTTGTCACACTGAGTGGAAACGTTTGTTTCCTGACACACAGCATTGTGAATAGCATGAGCTATAGCATAAACAGCCTTGTACACCATGTTAGTGATCCTTAACTGAGATGTATCGGTGTACGGGTTCTTGAGCTTTTTTATGTCTTCAGTTCCATCACATTCTTTTTTGCCTGAATCAAAATCTGCAAATGAACAGTTACTTATTTTATTTCATGTTCTAAAATGTTTTCTCAAATTAGTTAAATAATTGACCATAAACAATATAAGGAGCTCACTCTTTATTTTGCTCCATGTAGAATTTCCCCTAGTCTAAATAACTTTAAACAGGTATGATAAACTTTGGCATTGCACAAAGCTGTAAAATAAATAAATAAAATAAAACTAAATATGTAACACTCTTGTCTGTAACAACCAATGTTCTAAATCATCAAAAAGAAATCTCACTTTTTATTAGTGTGCAGTTGAAAGCATCCTCCCAGAACTCAGTCAGCACTGAGGAAGCAGCCACTTGAACGGGAGAAAGATCCAGTAGGAATTCTCTCAGACCTGGGATGACAGATTGCTGAATGGCAACTCCGATGGCTCCTGCACAGAAACTGTAGCTCATCAAGAGTGGGTCAGTTATCCAGCCCTCACTTCCTATCCACTGGCGAGGCGGTGGGGGCTCCCGAGCAAATTCTTCAAACAGAACCCTGAGATCACCGGAAGCTATGAAAGCCACAACAACCATCGCTGTTGACCTGTAGAGACATTAAAGTGTGTAAGTCTAAATACTTTAGCCTTAGCTGACGTAAGCTATTACTTTACAGTGTGAAATTTACTTAGTAACAATTTATGACCAAAAAATGCTATCAAAGCAGTTATTTCAGTAATAAAATCAAGCACACACAAAAAGTAACATAACCACAACCTTTGATTAATTATTGCTGAATATAGGTGATTTAAGTGTCCATACTTCTCTTTTAAATTAATGATATAAAAATCTTATGAGCTTGCTATTGCTGACATACACCAACCGTCAAATAAGCGTTTTAAAGTAGTGCAATGCAGTAGACCCACATTATATCAAGATACTCAGTCAAACTTAGAAACCTGCGGATGACATCAGCAACTCTCTGGATCTTGCTAAGCGGGTCGGTTCGGAGTAAAGATACAGAGTATTCCACACAGATTCCCTCTCTCTGTGCTGCAGCACGAAAAGAGGCCATCCCATAGTTTCCATAATCAGACTCCGAGCGGACAGCACCTATCCAAGTCCAGCCAAAGTGTTTCACCAGCTTGGCCAGGGCATCGGCCTGGAACTGGTCACTGGGAATGGTTCTGAAAAGGGTCGGGTACTGCTGCTTGTCTGACAGACAGGCACAGGTGGCAAAGTAGCTGACCTAAAAGGAGAAGACGACATCATGGATTTCTAACAATAATAAACAGGAAATTGTATTTACTAGCTTTACTGCATTTCTAATATTTCTAATATATTCAAACCATTTAACAAAAAACTAATTAAACACTCACACACTCACACACACACACACACACACACACACACACACACACACACACACACACACACACACACACAACTAATGTCAAAATAGACAGGAATTATATAGGTTTTCATTTAGCAGCACATGCAGACTAGTTACCAGAGGAACATTGAATGGTCTGATTACGTGTGACAGACTGATGGAGTTTGTGGATGTAGAATCACCAACGACCGCCATCACCATACCAGAATGAGAACAATTATTGCCACTTTCAAACACATGCTCCTTTCCATTTAACAGCTGAAAGGCCACGTCAGCAGCTACAAGCACCGATGCACAGCTATCATAAATCTGATATCCAAGTTTGATGTCTGGAAGCAACTCTGTGCTGTTGTTTATCTCCTCAATGGCAAAGATCATAGCACGAGAATACCGCAGGTTTCGTGCAGTCACACTGCAGAGAATAAATCAGATTAGAGCAGGAATTAGATTACCAAAAAGAGATTCATGCTTTTGGCTTCATGAACAAACAACACAAAAAAGATCGAACAACTAGAAAAACTCTACGCTGTCAATTCATATTTAGTCAAAGGTTGTTTAAGTTTGACAGGATTGAATTGTATATTTATTATTAATTATTTATTTATATGTACATTTGCATTACTAATAAATAGAATTATTTTCATAAATTTCACATTATTTCAATATCCAAGTATCATAAAATCTCCTTGTTCAGCATTGTTTCTCATTATTCCTCTTTGCAGCAAGTCACATTATTTTCATAGATCCAATTTCCTTTTTAACCACTTCTCTATCTTACCTACCTTCCTGTGCACCTTGGAGACTCTGGTTTCATGGTGTAGTTATGAATCTCTGTTTGCACTTTGAAGTGAATGAGGAAAAAACCTCCCAAAACGAAGTCTCCACGCATTGAGAATGCCGGTAAACGCGGCGTACCCTGCAGGTTACATTTCATCAAAGAGGCTTCAGCTGCAACACCGACACTAGTCTGAGCCTGTAACGGCTCAATCCTCTGTCTCAGACCATCCAAAGGACCACCAATGTTAACAACTGACATCAGCTCTAATAAACAAACTACTGATCTCAGATGAAGAAAGAAAGAGCTGATCTCCATTTCTCAGGTATCTGTTTATTAGTGCTGGTGTGCTTTTTCTGGTTTAGTCGTTTTAGTGTGACATCATGTGGTTGTTAAGCATAAACAAAACACCCTCAACAAATATTTGGTTACGCCTCTTATGATCATATAAGGAAAACATTTTCATTGTTTCTTGGAGACTAAAGCAGCCTGAAATTTACATTTCACACATTGTTTGTTGTACCCTTTACTTCTAAATTGGGCCTAAAAGTTACTTTTATCACTTCCCAAATATGTATGTTGTAACTTTTACAAATAATTAATGTAAAAAAATAAATAAAAGCACTTGATCAATACAATCAGTAAGCTGTACAATGTTGCTGAAGTGTGCTTCATTTTTTAGAAGAAAACATTTCACAGAAGTTAACTTTTAGAAAAAAAATCATAGGTTGGCTTCTTAACCTGTGTTGTGAATTTAACCTTTTGATTTTCCTGTAAAAAAAAATCCTAAATAATACCCTGCTTTAGGGAAGAGTTTTAATTCAGAAAGACTTTGCCCTTTAAGGCTATTCTTGGATAAGACATTCTCAAATTAGCCAACCACTGAGGAGCTTTCTAATGGGCCATTCCCATCTGTACCGGGTCGGCCCGGCCCGGGTAGCATAGGTTGTTTACATATCTGGGTGGCCTGGTATTTTTCCGGGCCAACCAAGGCTCATTCTCAGCCCTCTTCTCGAGGGGGTCTGCTTCAGGCCAACCAGGGCCAACACACCCACTGCTGACAGCAAATTCACACCTTCCATTAGAGCAAGCCTCTGATTGGTGGGTAGAATCAGCCCACATGGGCTTAAGACAAGGATGGGTGGAATCAACCGGGCCAGGCTGGGGCCGACTGGGGCTACCCGGCCCCGGCTGACCCGGTACAGATGGGAATGGCCCATTTATACACCAGCCCACCACATGCTCTGCTCCAGTGTGTAAGAGGCTCAACAGTTGTCTCCCAGTTTCATGCCACAATCTAAACAGCAAACCATCTTTCAAAAGCAAATTCTCCAGAAGACTAATCATGATGTCCAGCAATGCTGTGTGGATTTGCCCTTCCTGCCAGATGGGCCACATTATGAGCGGCGACCTCCTCACCTAATGTGAGGTTTGTCTCAGGGCTCACTATACAGGCCATGTCCTAATGCCACAGGCCTCGTGCCCCGCCGGTGCTGCTCGCCCTTCAGCTGAAAAGCTCCGCCTCATTGAATTCTTCACCTCTGCAACTGATAAGAGCTTCCTGGTGGCTGAGAATTATCCACTGCACAAGGCATTTCAATTTTATGGTATTGGTCAGGAGTCAGGTGACTCCGTCTGGACTGAATTTGATGATCACGATGATGATAATGAAGCTGGCTGCCACAGCCCTAAAAACACACCCTTCTGACCCCGGCTTTCCACCGGTGCCGTCAGCAGCACGTTACTGCAGCAGCACGTCATAGCCGCTGATAGGAACCACTGTGGTCAACAGAACCTTTTCCACCGGAGCCGTCAGCAGTGCGAGTCGGCCGCGTCTCAGGAGCAGCATGTCGCGGCCCTTACGCTCCAGTTCTATTTTCTACGTGCGACGCCTCTGAAACGGGGGAAGGAAAGACAGGAAATTGGATGCGGAAACGGAGCGAAGCTCCCGAGATTTTCAGAATAAAGAAACGTACTGCCTTCCGGTTGCTTTACTTTAAAAAAAACTTCTCACAGGGCCGCACAGCTAGTAACTTATCACCTAGCTAGCGGTCTCCTTTGTTTTTCAGGTCCGTATTGGCGATTATAAAACGGACAGAACATAAAACACGAAACTGTTGGAGCCATGTTGTAGTTTTCTCCTTCTTGTTGTTGTGTTTATTGACTAAGTCACTCCTGTGACTTCGTGCTCTGTCGGTGACAGCTGCTCCCCTGCTGCTTCGCGTCTCGTGGGAAGGGCCAAGCAGCAGCTTACGCAAGCAAGACGTGCTGCTGCAATAACGTGCTGCTGACGGCTCCGATGGAAAGAAGTGGTTCAGAGGTCCAAAGAACCACCCGCTGCAGGTGCTTCCAGCCGTGACAGTAATTCTCTAGGAGCTAGTAGCCATAATCTCTGTAGCCATCATCTCCGTGAAGGCTGATGGCAAGGACTGAATCATTCCTGAATCGGTTCCACTTTAGTCAGATGACAGCAGGGAGGTTTGGAGCCACTTAGGTCCGTTGTCCTGATCCCATCTGGCAGCCTTTCCCAGCCGCCATGGTCTGTTGGTCAAAGGCCTTGACTGAGCCTGCCAAGTTTAAAACTCCAATCACCCACTACACCCCCATAACAAAGATGGAAAGGTTTTCTGAAAGGGGCTATCCTCCCATTCCTGCTCTGGAATCTTGTGTTGCTTTTTGGGGCAAAGCATCAGCTGATTCCTCCTTGATGCTGCGAGAAACCCTGACCTCAGCTAGAATGCGAGCTTCAGCATTCCTTCTTCTAGTGCACGTTTGCAAGCAGGGTACCAGTGCAGAACGTGTGACGTTTGTGCTTTGAGCTTCCTAACTTGCCATTTCCAACATAGCTCCTTGTGGGTCACACCCGGTTCTAGAGACAACAGTAGGGACTCTCGCATGGCTTTTGGATGCAATGCACTTTCCCCCGGCACTGTGCATGTGCCCACCAAACACACTCCAGAATGGTGCCCACTTTGCCAAAAGGATACACAACATCATTCACGGCAGTCACTCTCTTAATTTTCTGTCCACCCTTCCCCTTTCAGTGGGATTATGAAGACAGAAGTGACATCACCGGAACAGTGCTCTGCCCTCAAGTCGGAATTGCCTGAACGTCTATTCAAAGAAGCAATTCCCCAAGTTCCCCCAGAGAAGATAGGTCAAGGCTCTATTCCCAATACACTCAGGTCCTGAAGAAAACAGGAGAGATGAGACCAATTTTAGATCATGATCCATTTATGCATGCTTACAGTGAAACAGGTTTTGGATTACGTTCCGGCTTCCGTTTGATTACGCCCTTGCCCCACGCATCTTCTCCAAATGTTTGGAAACAGTGCTTAAAGGCTGATTTATGCTTCTCCGTCTGCGTCAGTGCAGAGACACGCAACGCCATCATCCGTCGTTGCGTAGGGCTCCGGCAGGCACGCAAGTACGTACGGAGTCGAGCCCACTTTTTTAAACATCCGTCGAACGAGACGGATTAGGCAAGCTTGTGATTGGTCAGGACGCCGCTGTTGTTTACAGCGCCGCCATTGCAAAGAGAGCCGAGGATAACTAGCGGCAGACACGGAGAAGTTTGAAGATTACCTCGTGGAAAAACTCTAAAAAATATGAACGTTTAATTCTCCCGTGACTGGAGGAGTGAAGAGATGCGCAGCAAGCGTTTTATTTGTGGACGGAAATGACAGGAAACGTGGGTTTAGAGGTGGGGAGCGCATGAAGAGGTGGAGAATGAGAGACAAATATGTCCGTGTTAAAAGTCTCTTATATACACAAAAACCACAATATAAACACACCATCTTGGACCGATACATGACAGGATACCACAGAACAGCGCTACGCCCTCTGTTGTCCTGCCTGGCAATTGCTTTGCAACACTCTCCAGGAGACGGAGAAGTATGAGAGCAAAACGCTCCGTCAATCCGTGCGTGTCTGTCCCTTGTGGAACTGACGGAGAAGCATAAACCAGGCTTTAGCATTTACGACTGGCAGGCATGAGGGTTCTGTTTAATCTGGACAACCTGCTCTTTCTGGCTCACTACAAAGTGGAAGCAGTGATCCAATGTTGCTGGTGCCTGCTGGTGGTGGTTGAAGGAACCGGTGGCGTCTGTACTCAACAGCCTCGTCTCTGTCAGTGCACCCCAGAGCTGCTGTGGTTACATAGCAGCTTGTCCCCACCAGTGTGTGAATGTGTGTGTTCATGGGTGAATGACTGATTGTGCTGTGAAGCACCTTGGGGGATTGAAGAACCCTAAGAAGGCGCTATATAAATACAAGCCATTTACCGTCCAAATGAGAGTGCTAGTAGAGCATTTGTCAAACTTGTTTCTTTTTCTATAAACTGGGAAAAGAGCTCTGTTACTCAGTCCCAGTCAAGTGCTTTCCTGGGAGTCTGTCTCCCTCAGGCGAGAGTCGCAGACCTCCCTGCCATCTCCTAAGTATAACCTGACAGAACAGTCAGTGCTTTGTTGGTTGTGACATTATTAGGCCGTCCGACGTCACACATTCCAGTGTCCACGGATGCTTCTCGGTCAGGTGTGACAGGTTGCAGCAGTCTCCTACTGTCACCAGGGTTTTGGAGACAGATCGGTTTTTAATCACCCCTTCACAAAACATTTTTGGAAAGGCTTTAAGAAACAAAGACCTGTGTCCTGCTCACTAATCCCCCAGTGCAATTTAAGCCCTTAGACCTGGTTTTGCTCAGGTTCTTGTCACTAAAAACTGATCTGCTGCTGGCTCTAACATATCTTAAGAGAGAGAACAACCTAGCGGTTCTCTCTGTGGCTCAAGTTTGCCTCAGAATTTGGGACAATGGCAGTTCTGCTGTCTTATGTCCAAACCCAACTTTTTATGTCTAAGAGCATCACTAGCTCTTTCAGATTCAGGACTATTTCCCTGGAAGGTGTTTTTTTCTCCTCCTCACAATTCTGAGGAGGAAGCGACTTCCCATCTACTCTGTCCGGTGTGCATGCCCGCTTTTTATGTTTCATGGACCTCAGAGCTGGAATGCTCAAAGAATCTGTTTGTGCATTCCAGGGACTGTTCTCTCGGGCGTTTGCTGTCAACCCAGCATCTCTCACACTGGCTGTGTGAGGCCATTTCACTTGCTTATGCTACGTTAGGGCTGGACCCCCCTGACAAGCTGAGAGCACATTCCACTAGAGGAACTTCTACCTCTATGCTGCTGTAGAGTGGTGTCAGTACAGGACATCTGCCATGCTGCATCCTGGTCCTCCCCTTGTTCAGTTTTATGGTTTTATTTGCAAGATGTTTCTTGAGTATCCATCTCTTGCTCCATGCTCGGAGCCTCAACAAGTTGATGTGACCGGACTGTGACAGCCTGCAACCTTCTTGCTGTGAGGTAACGGTGCTAACAACTGCACCACCAAGCAGCCCGTTGTTGTGTGGATGCACAGCGTGAGATTTTCTTTTTCATCCAAGGAACCACTTAAAATTACACTTTAAGTTGGTTACATGATTAAGTTGGGTGTATGCAATGTCACGGTTTATTTGACAATTAAATAAGGATCCAGTAGCGTGTCCAGATCTTTTAAAATGGGGTGACCCAGGTGAGGCACAACTTTGTGCATGGGTGGCACCAATGGTTATGCTTTTTGTTGTTTTACCCCCAAGCCTTTTGTGGACAATGAAAAGCCTATTCAAAGGTAAATTAGTGTGGTGGCACCTGCGGTGGCCAATCAGATTCCAAGGGTGGCATGTGCTACCCCAGACCACTTCCTGTAAGGATCACTGTTAAAGAGTCACTAAACCCCAAAATACTTTTGTTTCGCAATCAGCTGTATAATTGGGTCTTTATGAATGTATTCTTTCTGTTTCAGTGCATTTTTTGACATGTTTGTGTAAACTTGATTAAATCTAGAATCTAGGTCTAAAAACGTCTTAGTGCTGCCCCCTGTGGCAGAACAGCAGCTACTGCATGTTAAACTTGTGATTGGCTGGGGCTGGAACAATTTCACGTCATCGGTACACTCACCTCCCACTCCCCCTCCCTCCCAGGATGGAAATTCCTGACACTTGGCCATGTCACTCTGTGTCTCCGGGCAACTTCCACTTTCATGGCATTTTTCAAATCTTGTCTAGGGGTGGAGTTACATTTTCTTATGGTGTGCAGTCCCTCGTTAAGTATTTCCAATATCTGTATATGAACAACTTAATACACACAGTAAATCTTTGTTTGGGGGAAAAAAAAAGAATCGATATTTCAAAGTTCTTAGAATGAACCCAGAACTATAAACGGACATAATTACATTGTATCTTGATTTTATTTGCTCAGATTATATAAACAAACTATTTAGGAGTAACACTGCTTGTTGCTTGTAATTTTTGATGACCGCAGACCAACTCCGCAAAAACATTGCTAGATGTGTGAACAAAGATTAAAGATGTGCAGTCATATCAATCAAAATAATTACAGTAAAATATAATAATCTGAACATTACCTATCAGTAAAACATGATTCAATTAAAATGTTTTTCAACCAGAAGAAGCATTACATTGTATTAAAATTACAAGTGAAGAAGTTTAATTGAAAATGGTCAATTGTTACAGCTAAAAATTATTGTTGCATTAAGCATAAGGCCATATTTGTTTCAAACTCATGTATTATTTGTTCATTAAAGATTTTCTAGAGTTCTTCTCAGGCTGAAATAAGATGATGAAACACTTTGGAGCAAATATACACAGAATCAGTCCAAAACTGGAGGCCAGAATAGCAAATATCTCCACAGCTACAGTCAATTTTCCAGGAGAGCTGACATATGCTGGGATGAAGGTGAGCCACACTGCACAGAATATCAGCATGCTGAAGGTTATCAGCTTGGCTTCATTAAAATTATCAGGTAGTTTCCGAGCTAGAACAGCTAACACAAAGCAGAAAACAGCCAGCAGGCCAATGTACCCGAGCACAGCCCAGAACCCAACAGCAGAACCTAATGCACATTCCAGGATGATCTTCTCCTTGTATGTACTCAGATTCTTCATTGGGAATGGAGGGCTGAGTAACAGCCACACAGTACAGATTACAACCTGTATGAATGTAAATAGCACTACAGTCATTCTTTGTTGTGGAGGCCCAAACCATTTCATGACATTACTACCTGGAAGTGTAGCTTTAAAGGCCATTAAAACCACTACAGTTTTCCCAAGAACACAGGAGATACAGAGAACAAAGGTGATACCAAACGCTGTGTGTCGCAGCATGCAGGACCAATCAGAGGGAGCTCCGATGAAAGTTAATGAACATAAGAAACACAGAGTCAGAGAGAAGAGCAGCAGGAAGCTCAGCTCAGAGTTGTTGGCTCTGACAATTGGAGTTGTTCTGTGATGAAAGAAAATAGCTGCTGTTATGATGGCCAGACAGGCCCCACTAACAGAGAATGCAGCCAGGATGATTGCCAGGACTTCATCATAGGAAAGAAACTCCACAGGTTTGGGGAAACAAGCGTCTCTTTGTGCATTAGGCCACAATTCACTGGGACACGGGAAACAGTCTGGAGAATCTGTCAAATAAAAATGTGTTAACACAGGAATATGTAATACTTTTGGGGGAAATAAATGTTTTACTTTACTTGTCGTGTTGCTAATCTCTCCTTCAGGACATGGTATACAATCATAACAGCAGATGGGTTTTCCTTTCTGCAGGACTTTACGAGTTCCTGGAGAACAACTCTCAGAGCACACTGATACTGGGACCTGTTACAAGGAAAAGCGTATTACAATAGTTGATTCTTTTTTCAGATTTTGCATTTGCGACTTGTCATTATTAAACTATTACCTTTGTTTTGTAATCCATCCAGGTTATGTTTCTGTTTATGCGAAACTCCTGGCCTTTAGGCAGTGATGCATCATAGTACCCTACTGTTACCAGCTCAATAACTCCACTCTCACTCTTCTGCCAGTTGACCAGCTCATAAAAAGCTACAGGATCTCCATTAGCATCAAATGACACAGGATAACCGTTACGAGTGAAGTTCACTTTTTTTAGTTCAGTCAAAACCTGTGATGTAATGGTTTAAATGAAGACAACAGAAACAGAAAATGCAGATAATAAAATTAATTTTACCTTTGAGGTCTTATTGGTTTTAAAAACATGAAAACACAATTTTTTGATTTGGTCTGACCTGTTTAGACTCCAGTCGGATGTCTTTGTCACACAGAGTTGTAGAGCTAGTTTCCTGACACACTGCATTGTGAATAGCACGAGCTGCTGCATAAACAGCCTTGTACACCATGTTAGTAGATCGAAGCTGAGAAGTATCAGTGTACGGGTTGTTGAGGGTTTTTAGATCTTCAGTTCCATCACACACTCTCTTGATTAGAGAACTGTCTATAAAGAATGACATACTCTGTTCTGTCATTGAATAAATGTAACATATTTATTTTATTTAATGTGAGAAAGGTTTGACAGGAAAGTCATTGTTGCAATCATGTTATTTCAGTTTAGATTATTTATAATAAGCATGTGGTTTATATAAGACATGTAGTGTGTCTCTGATGCTTTTGTTCTTATTAACACAGATACACATTTGTCTGGGAGCAATATTATGCTGTAATCTTGAACGAGGGTGCTGAAATAATTGAAATGCACAACACAACAAAACCTTTGTCAGCAAGAATTTTTGTCTCACTTTGTTTCAAGCTGCAGTAGAAGACATCCTCCCAAAATTCAGTTAGCACTGAGGAGGCAGTCAGCTCAGTTGGAGAAAGATCAAGTAAGAATTCCCTCAGACCTGGAATGACAGATTTCTGAATAGCAATTCCGATGGCTCCAGCACAGAAACTGTACCGCACCAAGTTCAGGTCAGTTATCCAGCCCTCACTTCCTATCCACTGGCGAGGTGGTGCGGGCTCCCGAGCCAGCTCCTCAAACAAAAATCTCAAGTCACCAGAGGCTGTGAAAGCCACAACAACCGTTGCTGTGGAACTGCAGAGAAATAAAAAAATGTTTATTTTAGAATGGCTACATGTATCTTCTGTAAAGATATGCAACCACTTTGTTACGTAAGTAATCTATTTTTCATATTAGAGTACAAACCATAACGTATTCTGTCATATCACATGCTATATTTTCATGTTACATTGTATATCACCTAATATCTAAATATACAACTAACTAGAGCTAATCAGTCCTGGGCATTTGGGCTTAATTTGGGCATAATTCAGTCATAATTCAAAAAATAATTTCTCTTCAGTTTGCTGTGTGTGTGTGTGTGTGTGTGTGAGATCAACATTAAAAAAACACACACACAATGCAAATATGTGACATAGAAACCTGCGGATGACATCGGCTACCCTCTGGATCTTGCTTTGTGGATCAGTTCGGAAGAAGGATACGGAGTACTCCACGCAGATTCCCTCTCTCTGTGCTGCAGCAAGAAAAGACGCCATCCCATAGTTTCCATAATCTGAGTCTGAGCGGACAGCTCCTATCCAAGTCCAGCCAAAGTGTTTCACCAGCTTGGCCAGTGCATCAGCCTGGAACTGGTCACTGGGAATGGTTCTAAAGAAAGTGGGGTACTGCTGCTTGTCTGACAGACAGGCACACGTGGCAAAGTGGCTGACCTGAAGGTGGGAAGGACAGGTTTTCTTAATAGTGGCTAAATTTGTATAACGTATTTGCACAGGGTTATTTTTCTAACATAAAAAGATATTTATTTTATGTGTCCATAACAAACTGAGAACATACAAATGCAGAGATGAAGCTATTTTTGGTACATCATCCAGTAATAAATGTAATCTCTTACCAGAGGGACATTGAAAGACCCGATGACTCGCGTCAGGCTGATGGATGTTGTGGATGTGGAGTCTCCAATAACAGCCATTACCACACCAGACTGAGAACAGTTGCTGCCCTTGTAAAACACCGGGTCCTGACCATTTAACAGTTGAAAGGCCACATCGGAGGCCACAGTCACGGATGCACAAGTATCATAAATCTGATATCCTAATTTTATGCCTGGCAGCAGCTTTGTGCTGTTGTTGATCTCCTTGATGGCAAAGATCATAGTACGGGAAAAGTGCAGGTTCCGTGCATCAAGGCTGCCAAAAAATAAATAAATGGTTCCAAGATCAACCAAAAACCCTTACAAATAAGCTCATACATGCATGATAAAGGCACATTATTAAAAATGGACTTAAAATCTCAGTCACAAAAATACTTTAACATAATTAAACTTCTAATATAATATTTAGATCATACTTGAATTGTAAATAATCTTCACTTCCTACTGATAAAAATCACACATTTTTTGACAATTAACAAGATAAGGGTGGGTTTAAATCCTCATACATGCGTGTTTGATCATTCATAAATGTACTTATAGCAGTTATTTAACAACATGACAACAAACTGCAGCAAGTCAGATCGTTTCCATCTACTAGCTTTTCCAGTGCTTTTCTCTAACCTCCTTGTGCACATCAGAGGGTACGGCTTGGTGGTATAGTTATAAATTACTGTTTGTACTTTGTCGTGAATGAGGAAAACGCCTCCAATGGTGAAGTCACCGTCCATTGAGAATGCAGGTAAACGGGGAGTACCCTGAAAAGAACATTTCATGGATGAAGCCTCAGCCGTAGCACCAGTCAGAGCCTCTGAAGTCTTAGTCCCTTGATTCAGATCCTTTGGTGAACCACCAACGATGATAACCGACATCCGGTCCAATAAAATGAGCAGTCTAAGACCAACAAGGACAGGTCTGATCTCCATTCCCCAAGTGTGCGTTATTACATGTGTGGTTCAACTGTTTGATGAACTTCTTTTGTGCAATGAGGGCTGCTCATCACAAACAAGACCCCTCCAACCAGCCATCCTCATTTACATAACTTTATGAGAAAGATGATATAAATTCCCTGCAAGGGACATTAGAAAAAAAAATCACCTTTTGCTTAATCCTTGTAGCAAGTTCAGCTATGGGTGCACGCACAATCCCTACTATGCCAAACAATGCTCCACAACACACTATACTTATTTCTCTTTTTGGTCAGGATGCGGCCCATTCACCATCTCAAATAATTCACCTCTCTCTCCCGCTCTGCCACTCCATAAGTGTATCAGCGCACCCCTGATGAATTTCCTGAGGTTTTGCCCACTCCTATCTCCCGCTCACATGCGCACTGAGCCAAACACTCCCACTATCTGACTCGGGCTGGCGCAAACGCCGGCTGGACCGACACCCCCCACCAAAACTACATCCTTAGGCCAACAAAATGGATCCCCTCAATGCCCTGTCCTTAAAAGTTATGAATGTAATTGGTGACAAAAAGCTGTCTCCAACACTCACCGGGAACCATATTGCTCCTTTTGAAGCTGAGATTCTACTATTCAACAGACTCTCCTCTCCAGAACCCCTGAATAGACCTTACCAGGGAGACTCAGCAGAGTGATCACCTTGTAGTTGGAACACACCCTGTGTTTGCTCTTTTTTGCCTCTGCAGACCTCTGATAACTATCAGTTACCTCTGGGCTCCCACAGGCCTAGAAGACCTGATAGGACTCCTTCTTCAGCTTGACAGCATCCCTAACTACCAGTGAGTTGGGTGGCTGATGCCACAACAGGCACTACCCTGCGGCTCAGGTCAGCTCCCTCAACAATGGAGGCATAGAACATGGCTTACTCTCGCTCAATGTCCCATGCCTCCCAAAGCTCTGTCAGAGGTGGGAAATGAAGGACAACAGACCCTCATCATATGTCTGGGCCTGCCAGGTCTGACTGGCATCCTTCCCCACCACCAAAGCTAACTCACAGATAGTGGTCAGTTGACTGCTCCACCCCTCTTTTCACCTGCGAGTCCAACACATGCGGCCACAGATCAGATGAGACGACAACAAAGGTGATCGCTGAGCTGTGTACCTAATATCTAACACCTAAGGTATTCTAGTGCCAAGAGCACATATGGACACCTTTATGTTTGAACACGGTGTTCATTATGGACAATCCATCATTGGACAGCAGTAGCTCAGAAGGTAGACTGGAAGGTTGCAGGTTCGATCCCAGCTCCAACGAGAGAATGCTGCTGTTGTGTCCTTGGACAAGACACTTAACCCACTTTTTCTTCTGGTGGTGGTTGTCATGGTCCCCGTAATTTTCATCAGCCCTCCAGTTATGCCGTTCCTGCCATTCACCACCATGGACAGCTCCTGCTCTACAACTCTCTCCCCCATGGTGAGGCTGCAGCTGGTTCAGCACCAAGGAGAGAGGCACGCCTGGTCCGGCAGCAGCAACAGCCGAAAACAATCGGCTCATCGGTCATCCTCACCTGCAGATACTTAAGCAGACTCCCAGAGACATTCGATGAGACACAGACCCACTCTGTTGTGGTCCTTCGCTGTGTGTTCCTAATGACTTTGAGATTGACTTACCATTGTGGAATTTTCTTTATTCTAGCCTTTGATTTAGGTAGTGTATTGACCTATAGAGGCATTTTGTGTCGGTTTTGGACCTTAGGACTTTTAGTTTAGAGTTTGGTGGACCTTATGTTTTGTCTTTAGTAGTTTCTAGTTGCTGAACCTTGGGCCGAGTATTTAAGTTTGAGTTAGCCATTTAGCCTTTTGGTTTGGCGTCTAATTTAAATATTTCCATGTTTTCCTTTTCTCCCCTTTTAAATGAGGGTGTCACTTTCAGTTGCTTCTTTGTAAATATTTATAGATAGACCATTTTGTATAATAAATTGTTTAAACCATTACCCACCATATTATTTACATCACTTAAGACAGACCCCCACCACCACCACCACCCTCTTTTACTTCCTCTTTAGTTTATTTTCTCTGTGTACGACCCCTCACATCTCTTAGACTTCCAGTCAGGATGCAGCCCATTCACCATCTCCAGTCATTCTGTCATGTTGGGTGGCAGTTTCTTGACCCACGACATGCAGAATCACAACACGGAGAGCAGGAAGGTAAGTAAAAAGGTTTTTATTACTAAATAAGGAGCAGCGGGAGAGATGGGAACCGACGGGATGCAGGACTGGCAGCAGGTTTCCAGGAGGAGATTCTGAGGAGTGAGACTGAGTGAATATTAGGTGGAAATAATGGAAATTTATCTGGAGGCTGGGCTTACTGTTTCTTGGCAGTGGTAAATGTACAGTGAGGGTTGTCAGGTCCGGGTGAGCTGAGGAGAACCAAAGGTAAGGGAATTGGTTTGTCCAGAGGCGTAGGAGCAGGAATGGATGTTGGTAGGTGAGCGGCTGAGAGCGGGCGGCCAGGGGATGAAGCAGTGTGGTCAGGTAGGCTGAGATCCAGGTTTGTTCTGAAGGAGATGGGAGGTGAAGAGGAACCTGGAGGAGAGCAAGGAAGGGCATTAAGGATTCTTTCAGGCGGCAGGTTAACAAGAGCAGAATACAAATATCAAAATCCGATTGGAGGCTAGAGCTACCTAAACAGAGTAATCATCCGGCGTGGTGAAGTGTCACACTGCTCCTTAAATCCCCCGGGCCATGATGGTGAAATCAGCTGCAGCTGGGAGCTCTCAGACATGCCCACCTGTGAAAACAATGCTCAGAGGAGAAACCGGGTTACAGGCTGGCAGCTCACCACGGACCCTGACACATTCACCTCTCTGGCTGTAACAGTGGTCGAAGGGACCGGTGGCGCCAGTGCTCGGCAGCCTCGCCTCTGTCAGTGCGCACCAGGGCAGCTGTGGCTACATCGTAACTCATCCCCACCATCGTGTGAATGAGTGTGCGAATGGCTGAATGACTGATTGTGGTGTGATGTTCCTTGGGGGGTTGTAGAACCCTAAGAAGATGCTATACAAATAAAGGCCATTTTACCATTTACCATGATGAGCACAGAAGTCCAATGACTGAGAACCTTCACCAGCAAAACTCCAAACAACAGACAGGAGCCGTCCCCCCACACGTAGGCAGAAGGAGGCCACACTCTCGTTCACCAGGGTAAACCCCGATCACCAGGTGGGGGGAAACAAGTATGCCCAGCCCTATTTGACGTCGCTGAGTGGGGCATTTACAGCAAATTTAGACTCTAAACTTTTAGTGAACGTTTAGTAAATAACACATTGATGATTGGTTATAAATTTGTTTCATACTTGAAAAGTGTGTATAGTAATATTCAAAGGAGAATGTAGATAAGAATGCTTTAGTTCTGTGTAAGATGAACCAGCAATGGGCCTTTGTTGTTGTGTGTTTCTGTAGTCTAACTCTGATTGATTTCAACTGTTGTTTAACACAACACAAGCACAGGTGCTTCTTTTCTAATGTGCACATGGAGAGATACAGACAGCTCAACAGTTCAGTTTATCTAATGTTGTTATCCATTTTGGAATATTTATACCATGACAAATTAGTAGCATGAGTGTTAATCATTGTTATTCATAATACATATTTTGTTGGATTAAAGCTACTTAATATGTGTAGGAAGGTTGATTTTCAATTTTGTCCTTCATCCTAGGAAGAATTTATTCTTATTTTTGGGTCATTAAATGTTTCTTGGAATTCTTCTCAGGCTGAAATAAGATGATGAAACACTTTGGAGCAAATATACACAGAATCAGTCCAAAACTAGAGGCCAGAATAGCAAATATCTCCACAGCTACAGTAAATTTTCCAGGAGAGCTGACATATGCTGGGATGAAGGTGAGCCACACTGCACAGAATATCAGCATGCTGAAGGTTATCAGCTTGGCTTCATTAAAATTATCAGGTAGTTTCCGAGCTAGAACAGCTAACACAAAGCAGAAAACAGCCAGCAGGCCAATGTACCCGAGCACAGCCCAGAACCCAACAGCAGAACCTAATGCACATTCCAGGATGATCTTCTCCTTGTATGTGCTCAGATTCTTCATTGGGAATGGAGGGCTGAGTAACAACCACACAGTACAAATTAGAACTTGTATGAATGTAAATAGCACAACAGTCATTCTTTGTTGTGGAGGCCCAAACCATTTCATGACATTACTACCTGGAAGTGTAGCTTTAAAGGCCATTAAAACCACTACAGTATTGCCAAGAACACAGGAGATACAGAGAACAAAGGTGATACCAAACGCTGTGTGTCGCAGCATGCAGGACCAATCAGAGGGAGCTCCGATGAAAGTTAATGAACATAAGAAACACAGAGTCAGAGAGAAGAGCAGCAGGAAGCTCAGCTCAGAGTTGTTGGCTCTGACAATTGGAGTTGTTCTGTGATGAAAGAAAATAGCTGCTGTTATGATGGCCAGACAGGCCCCACTAACAGAGAATGCAGCCAGGATGATTGCCAGGACTTCATCATAGGAAAGAAACTCCACAGGTTTGGGGAAACAAGCGTCTCTTTGTGCATTAGGCCACAATTCACTGGGACACGGGAAACAGTCTGGAGAATCTAAACAGCCAACCAGAAATGTTTTGCAAATTAAACATTTATTTTGGAATAAATTGCATTAAAATGTTTACCTGGAATATTTCATTAGGATATTTATTCATGTGAATATTCAAAGACAGAATTTGATTTTACCTGTTCTATTTGCCACTTGTCCTTCTGGACATGGTATACAATCATAGCAGCAGATGGGTTTTCCTTTCTGCAGGACTTTACGAGTTCCTGGAGGACAACTCTTAGAGCACACTGATACTGGGACCTGTTACAGAAATAAAAACAAGCTCATAGATCTGTATAGGTTTCTTTGAGTAAAGCTGTCATTAACGTGACACTGTGCACGTTCCCCAGCAATAGGGGCAGTACATACATCATTGCAAGCAAGACGTATTTTTGTTTTCGAGTAAGACCGGTTGGCCGTTAGTGTCAAAAATCCCTGGGAGCGCAAATTTCTACTGAGTACATTTTCAGATCGTTCAACCTCCAGCAAAATGACAAGCACGGGTGAAGAGGTAAAAGTGTAAACAACATTGTTTATGAATAACAAAAGTTTTGTAACCTTTTGATACAAATCAGTAAAAAAAAAAAAAAAAAAAAAAAAAGTGTTTTGTCCTGACTGGCTCACGTAGAAGGAAACATAGTGTCTAATAAGGCGACCTGCTCCCATGTATTTTAGACCTGATTTTTATAGTTATATGTTATGAAGCTGCCACGATTTTTTAACAACTGGTTATTATTTTATCCATTTTCAACAACATTTTGATGGACATTTTCTGAGATTAATGGGAAAAACTACACATTGTCACTTTAAGCAAGACATAAATACAATTTTTTATATTATTATAGACATTCTGAATGTACGTACTTGTGCACCACCCTCCACCCAGGTTATGTTCCTGCTGATATGAAACTCCTGACCTGTAGGCAGTGATGCATCATAGTACCCCACTGTTACCAGCTCAATAACTCCACTCTCACTCTTCTGCCAGTTGACCAGCTCATAAAAAGCTACAGGATCCCCGTTGGCATCAAATGACACAGGATAACCATTTTGAGTAAAGTTGACTTTCTTCAGTTCAGTCAAAACCTGTGACGTGTAAATAAAATGTAATAAAATCAGACATTGACATGAATTTTACTTATGGAATCTTAGCTTTAAAACATCGTAAAACTCCTTTGGTTTGGTCTGACCTGTTTGGACTCCAGTTTGATGTTTCTGTCACACTGAGCGGTGAAGTTAGTTTCCTGACACACAGCATTGTGAATAGCATGAGCTATTGCATAAACAGCCTTGTACACCATGTTGGTAGCTCTTAGCTGAGATGTTTCTGTGTACGGGTTCTTTAGCAGTTTTATGTCTTCAGTTCCATCACATTCTTTCTTTTTTGGACTGGCATCTAAAAAACAAATTTAGAAGGATATTCTTAAATTTGTCATAGCTATTTATTATTTGATTTTATGCCATTATAGCCTACGTTTGTAAGCAGAAAAGTATCATCTTACGTGAGAAAGCAACATTTTTACTTTTTAAGAAATTGCATGTTTGTGTTCATTTTTTTATGTGAAATTAGTCTGATCACACAACAGTACTGTCTTTTTTTTTATAAACAAGGATACTGAATACAGCCTAACAAAAGGCCAGCACATGTTTTTTCTCACTTTTTGTCGGTGTGCAGTTGAATGCATCCTCCCAGAATTCAGTCAGCACTGAGGAGGCAGCCACTTGAGCAGGAGAAAGATCCATTAAGAAGTCTCTCAGACCTGGGATGACTGATTTTTGAATAGCAACTCCAATGGCTCCTGCAAAGTAACTGAAACTCATCAAGTAAGGGTCATTTATCCAGCCCTCACTTCCTATCCACTGACGAGGTGGTGTAGGCTCCTGATTCAGCTCATCAATCAACACACTCATATCTTCTGATGTTGCAAAAGCCAAAACAACCATTGCAGATGACCTGCAGAGACATTAAGTTGAGATTTTTTTATGTAGACGAACTAGATGCAATTTTCCTTTTTTTTCAAAGCTAATTTGTTTATTCCAAAAGAACCACTTCATTTAAAAAACATGTCAAAGCACCATTCCATAAACCAAAACATAAAAGTATGCATATCCATTAATATAGTTGTAATACAGTCATTTTAAATCCACAATTAATGTCTAATACAATAAATAAATTTAAAATGGAAACACGACTCATTAGTAATCAAAAATATGTTTGGAAGCATAGTAGGTCTATATCTATACACATTAGCAACCAAAATCAGTGATGTAGAAACCTGCGAATAACATCGGCTACTTTCTGGATCTTGCTTTGTGAGTCGGTCCGGAAAAAGGCTTCTGAGTATTCCACGCAGATTCCCTCTCTCTGTGCTGCAGCAAGAAAAGACACCATGCCAAAATTTCCATAATCTGAGTCGGAGCGGACAGCACCTATCCAAGTCCAGCCAAAGTGTTTCACCAGCTTGGCCAGTGCATCAGCCTGGAACTGGTCGCTGGGAATGGTTCTGAAAAATGTTGGAAACTGCTGCTTGTCTGACAGACAGGCACATGTTGCATAGTAACTGACCTAAAATTAGAAAATAGCAATATGGCTTTCTACTAATAATACAGATTTCCACTTTGCTAAATATTTAGATGATTTACCGTTTTTAGTAATATTAATACAGACACACTCAGAACAGTTATAAAAAAAATTATACTGGTATAGTGTGTATATTGTAGTGTTTGACCTGCAGTAAAAGCAAATTATGTACCAGAGGGACATTGAAAGACCCGATGATGCGCGACAAGCTGATGGAGGTTGTAGAAGTAGAATCTCCAACAACAGCCAGAACCACACCAGATTGAGAACAACTTCTGTTTTCATAAAACACAGTGTCCTGACCATTTAGTAGCTGAAAGGCCACATTGGCGGCCACAATCACAGAGGCACAGGTATCATGAATCTGATATCCTAGTCTGATGCCTGGCAGCAGCTCTGTGCTGTTGTTTATCTCCTCAGTGGCAAAGATCATAGCACGGGAAAAGCGCAGGTTCCGAGGGTTGAGGCTGTGCAGAGACAATCCAGTTAAAACTGACATTTAACACACACGCACATGCAAAATTACCCTTCAGATGTAATATTTACCATATAAAAAACAGAAAATAAACTAACTGAAAATGACTGAATTTAAAAGTTATCAAGCATAGGTTAAAGCAGTAAATATACATAATTTTGAATTAATATGCATGGACTCCTTTCCTTTTTCAACACCAACACAGCAAAATTCATAGCATTTTGTCTCGTTTCAGTTAAACATGCTTTGCATGCAACATTCTGCTTCACTAACCTCCGGATGCACATCTGTGACTCAGGCTTGGTGGTGTAATTGTAAGTTACTGTTTTTTCTTTGTTGTGAATGAGGAAAACACCTCCGATAACAAAGTCTCCATCCATTGAGAATACAGGTAAACGTTGTGTACCTTGCAATTCGCATTTCTTTGACAAAGACTCTGCATTAAGGCCAGGCACAGGCTCTATAGGCTCAATAATTTGTTTCAGCCCATCCAAAGAAAGACCAAAGATAACAAATGACATCAGCTCCAGCAAATAAAGCATTGATCTTGGAACAGTAAAGACAGGTCTGATCTCCATCATTCAAGTGTGTGTATTTGTGCCTGCATCATTCTACTGGTTTATAAACCTCAGTTGTGCATCAGGTGGTTGTTTATCACAAACAAGACTCTCAATCAACAATCATTGGTTACACCTTTTTCTGACTCTATAATGACACCATGGCCAATATGCTTCTTATCTTAACCTTTACATTTATTATTTAACTTCAACAATATTGTTTACAAAATCACTATGGCTTTCTAAAGCTTAACTTTTTACAGGTAGTTTTTACACGAAGTACTTGTCTTTGATTTTATCTTTTTTTTTTTCATTTTTATATCATTTATCCAGGTTAACAGTTTTAAAAAAAACTTCTCACAAACATAATATGGCCTGAAGCTGCAGAAATGTTTAAAATATAACACACAGCTGAATTTGGTCATATAGTCTGTATTGGAATTGACCTTAATTCATATTGACCCTTGGAGACAATGTTATGATACTCATAGAAACATCTCTTTTGCCAAGATGAACATCAAAGGGACAGTTGCCATGCATTAAAACTCATTTAAAGCTTGTCCAAAAAAAAGTCTGTTTGTAACCTTATGCCTCTTTTTAAAATAGATGGGCAACCCATGACAAACAGGTCTTACGTGAGGCATTAGAAAAATTGCAGACCAAATATGATAACAACTGTCAAAGAGTACCCTCACTTGGACACAGGTCACTGGGGTCCCCTTCTGGAGACAGGCCTATAGGTGGGGCATGTTGGCAAGCACCTGGTGTCTGGCTTCTGCCCCATGGAGTCTGGCCGGGCACAGTCCAAAGAGGAGACATGGGTCCTGGTTTCCACTGGATCACCAATTGTGGGAGGGGCCAAAAGAGTCAGTTGCAGTGTGAGATAGGTGGAAGCCAAAGACTAGGACCTTGGCAGTCAGATCCCAGCTCTTGATATGAGGAATGCCATCTGCCTGGTGAGGAAAGATCCTGATAGTGTGTAAGGTTGAAAGGTTCTGGCTATAATCAGACTCACCTCAATACATGGCTCTGAAACCAGTTTTCTTAAGAGGGGTTGGACACTCTACCACTTTGGAGAGCAGAGGTGGGCAAACTTGTTGTGCCCCATCATTTTTACCTGTGTGTTGGGGTTTACCTTGGTGAATAAGAGCATAGCCTCCCTCTGTATTTGTCGAGGGAATGGTTCCTAACTGTTGTTTGCTCCTTTGCACTGAATGGCAGGTTGTGTCATTCATCCTTTTTTGAGTTCTTGGAAGGGGTTCTGGAGAGTATTCCTTCACGTGACTCTCTTGTTCTCCTGCAGGACATCAGTGCTTACATGGGCAACACCAGTAAGATCTAGAAAAGTGTCTTTGTGAGGAATGCCCATCCCACATCTGAATCCAAATGGGGTTTGGCAACTGGACATCTGTGCTCGCCATGGATTGTCCATGATGGTCACAGTGTTTAAGCATAATGACTATCCCTGTATTGTTCCAGTCTCCCCCTAAAACCCCTTGCTAGGCCACTGGCTCCAGCCAGCATTGAGGTTTCATTTTTTGAGCTGGGGTTTTCTCCTCCCATACTCATTGTACTTTGCTACAGGCCACCAAAATATAACAGTGTTTTTATAAGTGAACTCTCAGATCTTTTAGCTGATTTACTCCCTAAATATGACCAGGGAATTATCCTGGGTGATTTTATTATCCACATTTGTTGTTCTCTGATGCCATTGGTGAAGGATTTTGTTGACAGCTTGGACTCTTTTGGATTACAACAACTGGTAAATGTCACCACGCACACTGGCTCTCACACCCTGGATTTGGTTTTATATTTTCAGAATCAGAATCAGAATAATCTTTATTGCCAGCGCTCCAGCGACCCAGGTTACACACACACACACACATGTAGACAAAACAGGTACAGGCAGTCCATGAGAGCAGCCAGAATGGCACTCATTTCATTAGATGAAAAGGGTGTTACATGAGGATAAATGGGGTAAGGTAAAAAAGGCATACCAGAGTTAGCCCCAGCAGGGAGTAGCTCTACTATACAAAACTCCTCAACATAGAAGCACGAACATCACAGTTACAACATCAGACTCCGATAGGGAGGCGGGGCGGGAGGGGGGGGGGGGTTGATCCTCCAACGGGAGCTGCCAGTGTACGGCGCTCACAGCTGCAGTCAAACAGGTGGGAGGGAGAGAAGAGGGCCAGAGAGCACATTGAGTTTCCTGCAGGTTGATGACCTCGAAGCAGAAGTCACAATCTGAAGGCAGGGGGGGAAGGTTTTGTCTGTCCGTTTTGGGCATGTGAAAGCACTTTATAAATAAAGTTGATTTTATTCAATTTTATTTGAATAACCTTGCACCATCATATCTGACGGAACTTCTCCATTGCCATTGTCCTTCCCGGCACCTCCTTTCTGCTGACTCCAACCACATTTCCCCTTTTAAAACAAAACAACGTACCATGGGGGATCGAGCCTTTTCAGCTGCTGCCCCCACACTTTGGAACTCTCTCCCACTAAACATCAGGAATGCTGTCTCTCTTTCTACTTTCAAGTCACTGCTTGAAAGCATAGCATAGCATAGTTTATTTATATAGCACGTTTAAAATGCAGCATGGGAGCTGTCCAAAGTGCTGCACAGGCTAAAACAAAACACAACCATTACAAGGAGCTAAGACAAAGGATAAAAATCTCAATCAAAGGCAGATAAACCATCATGAATACTAAGAACACATTAAAACAATGATACAATAAAACACTAAAACGAGTCACTGTCTAAAAGCCAAAGTGTAAAAGTGGGTCTTTAAACGAGATTTAAAAACTGCCAGAGATGGAGCCTGCCGAACTCCAATGGGCAGAGTTCCAAAGCTTTGGGGCAGCATGCACAAGTGCTCGATCCCCCCGCGATTTGAGTCTCATCTGCGGCGTGTACAGCAGCAAAAGGTCAGCCGAACTCAACGTGCGAGTGGGCACATATGGAGTGAGAAGGGCAGAGAGGTAGGGAGGTGCCAGGTAATTGAGTGCTTTAAAAACAAAAGTCAGTAACTTAAACTGCACTCTGAAAATGACAGGGAGCCAGTGAAGATGTTCCAGGACAGGGGTAATGTGCCTACGTCAGTGTGTACCCATCAAGAACCGGGCAGCAGCGTTCTGAACAACCTGCAGCCGATTCAGGGCAGAGTCCGGAACACCAACGAGGAGGGCATTTGCAAAGTCCAGGCGAGAGGTAACGAAGACATGAATGACTGCCTCCAAATGCCTCCGTTTCAGGATTCGTCTGAGGTCAGTAAGGTGGCGAAGCTGATAAAAACATGACCTCACTACGGAGTTTATCTGTGGGGCCATTGTGAGTCCAGCATCCAGCTTGACCCCGAGACTCGTCACACACTGTTTGGGGTTAAGGGTTAAAAGGTCACAAACAGGGTGAGAGCCATGGTGGTTGCGGTGGTCAAAAACAATGAACTCAGACTTCTTTTCATTCAGTTTTAAGAAGTTGGATGCTAGCCAGCCCTTCACGTCATCCATACATGCAGCCAATTTCGAGCCCGCATTCTTCTCGTCCATTTCCACATATAGCTGACAGTCATCTGCGTAGATGTGATAGCTCAGGCCATGCTGATTCAGGATATTGCCCAGAGGCAGAAGGTAGATTGAAAACAGCAATGTCCCAAGAACAGAACCTTGTGGCACCCCCCAAGGCAGTGGAAGACTGGAGGATGCACAGTCACCAATCTGTACAGAGATGGTACGGTTTGATAGGTAGGAGCGGAACCATTTATGCGCCACCCCCGTCACCCCAATCCAAGACCCAAGCCGATCCAGTAAAATATGGTGATCGACCGTATCAAAAGCCGCTGAAAGGTCCAGCTGGAGCAGCAATACCCTAGACCCAGAGTCAGATGCCACCAGAATGTCATTTAGCACCCTAATCAAAGCAGACTCAGTGCTATGGTTTGGTCTAAAGGCTGACTGAAACACATCCAGCAACGAGTTGTTGTTCATATGTGCAGAGATCTGACCATGCACAATTTTCTCAAGGACCTTCGAGAGAAACGGGACTTTCGATATAGGGCAGAAGTTCTCATAAGTGGAGGGATCCAAACCAGGTTTTTTCAATATCGGCTGAACAACCACATCTTTAAAAACCTTAGGGAACACTCCAGTGCTGAGGCTAATGTTACAAATGTTAATGAGTGCCGGGCTCAGCGCAGACACAGAGTCACGCACCAATTTAGCTTGGAGGCAGTCCACCGAAGAGCCAGCTGGCTTCATGGAGCTAATCAGTTTCATCAAGTCAGCAAGCTAAACTGGAGCAAAGTCCGAGAAGGCAGGTGGGTCCGGCGGTTCTACATGATAGTATGTATTTGAGGCTGGAGGCTAAGCCTAATACCAAGGATCTTGTTGAGGAAAAAGCTCTGTAGCTCTGTGCATAAGGCAACAGTGGGATTTAGACCATCAGATTCCCACCTCTTTAAATTGGCCTTCCCTTAGGATCAACCCAGCATCCCTCAGTCTGTCTAATTATGTTTAATTTTGGTTTTTTTATTTGTTCATTGCATTTGTGTGAAGCGTCTTTGATTGACCTAAAAAGTGCTATATAAGTTTGATGTATTATTATTATTATTATTATTAGATCAGCAGACAAAAGCTATACTCTTGTAATACTGGATCTATGTTGTTACTAACTAATGAAAATACTTAAATCCTTACCACTGTCACACTTCATCTAATGGTGTTGGGGATAACTGTCAGCTTAAACAAATCTTGTCTCTATTCACCACTGTACCCAACTGTGATACCTAAACACTATATGTTTATGTATTAGCAGGCGCTTTTGTCCAAAGTGACTTACATGTGATAATCAAGCCATCAGGTTGCCCTTGAGGCTAACAACAAACACTATTCAGTCAATCCTAGGTGGCAGAGGCAGCATAATCAGTCATGGAGGGAAGCGAATATGGAGTGTGCAGTAGAGTGGGGGACAGGTGCTGGGAGGGTGTTAGTTTAGAAAATGCTCAACCAGCCACTCGTCCCCATCACCGCATATTTTTCTCCTCCTGCTCCCTCACATCATCACACAAACATGCAGATAGGACCTTGGGGGGAGGACAAGTCAGGGAGTGCGGGTATGGACCCCATTTCCGCATTCCTGTGGCAACCTGCCCCCCAATTTTATTTGCACCTTAAACACTTCCACCAACGACTTTCAATGCAAACACACACTTAGGGCCTTGGGGGTGAGCACATTCAATGGCAGTTGGCAGGGGGATTTCTCAGCCTCATCCTGAGTGTCGGTGCCCACTTACAATTTTAAACTGCACTTAGACACCGAGGGCTGTGGGTGCAAGTAGGGTAGTGTGGTGGCATCAGCTGGCATAGGCCAGACAATGCCTGCACTGCCTGCTCACCACAGCCATGGAATACACCTCATCAACACACAACACTATAATGGAGCAGTCAGAGGGAAACTAGGGGTCTTAGCACACCTTTGTTGTTGCTTGGCTTCCTGGAGCTGGAGGCTAGGAGGGAGATCTGGCCATCTGGTTGGGGTCTGGGGTGGTGGGTTGCTGTGCTCAGCATTGGGCGGGGGAGCCTGCTCATCAGCACCCCAGCAGAAAGGGTCAAACTCTGGTAACCGGTGACGGTTGTACCCCATGTGCAGCAGTACTGGGATCAGAGTGAATAGGGTGTGTATGGGGAGCATGAGTGGGTGTCCGGCGTGCATTTTTGTAAGTCTTTGGTTGTATGTGTATGTGTGAGCATGAGGGAGGGAGTGTGTGACTGTGTTTGTGTATAACTGTATATGTCAGGTGGGGCCTTTGACTCTTTGGGGGGCAGGTCTGTGGTCCCTCACACTCTCTATTGGACGCTTTTATAGAGAAACCTCACATAAACAAGCGCGTGTACACACACAGGTGCTCACATGGTGCTCTCAAAAGTATGGACTTCTTTTGATGATATAGATCTTCGTCTCCCCTCCTCCTGCCACACCTGGTGTGGAGTGTGGTGCCTTCGTCTGCCTGAGTGTTCGCGGCTCCCGGATCAGGGTGTTTAAGATTTTTGGCATCTGTTTAATCGATCCCAGTGGCTGCCTGGTGGGGTCTGGGTCCCTGGGCTCTGCTGGGTCCCCAGCGGGGGTGGTCGCCCATGGGTCCCGGGTCGCTGGGTCCCGGGCTCGGCCAGCTAGGGGGTGCGAGGCTGCGGGCAGGTCTGTGGGCATGCCGCTGATATCTCCCGGGAGTCTGCCAGCTGCTGGTTGTGGCCCCCCCGGGGCGATCCTCTGTGCCTCTCGAGGGGGGCGGGGGCCTTTCTTTAGGGCAGCAGTAGCTCAACAGGTTGAGCGGGTTGTCCAGTAATTGGAAGGTTGCAGGTTCGATTTCGGCTCCGGACAGAGAATTCTGCTGTTGTGTCCTTGGGCAAGACACTTAACCCACCTTGCCTGCTGGTGGTGGTCGGAGGGACCGGTGGCACCTGTGCTTGGCAGCCTCGCCTCTGTCAGTGCGCCCCAGGGCAGCTGTGGCTACATTGTAGTTCATCACCATCAGTGTGTGAATGTGTGTGTGAATGGATGAATGATACACTGTAGTGTAAAGCGCTTTGGAGTCCTTACTCTGAGAGGCCCTATACAAGTGCGGGTCTTTCATAATTCATTTCTGGTTGCAGTCTCCGTGGGGTCCCTGTGTTCTGGGGCAGCGCCTGGATCTCTGGGACTTGGAGCTGCCTCCGTCTCCTACACACCTTTGGGGGGCAGGTCTGTGGTCCCTCACACTCTCTATTGGACGCTTTTATAGAGAAACCTTACATAAACAAGTGCGTGTACACACACAGGTGCTCACATGGTGCTCTCAAAAGTATGGGCTTTAGCACGTTCAACACATGTCTTAAGGCTGTCGTTGCCACCAAATGCACTATGAGTTATTGTCATGTGATTGTTTAGTTAAACAATGTTGATTTTGTATTTCATCATCAGGTTCACGCAGTGATAGCTTGCTCCTGTTGTATTGTTGTGTGTCCCATTTTTTTCTTCTCTTTCTCTTTCTGCAGGTCTAGAAGCAGACTCTTGTTCATTATTGTTTATTTTTTTGGAAGCCCCCCCCTCCCCCCCTCTCCCTCCCCCTCCACACCTTTTGTCTTTTCCTTTCTCTTTCACCTCTGTCTCTGTGTCTGGTCGGAATTACAAAGCATTCAAAAACAATAACAATAAAGTTTTAAGTATCAGGCGCGACATTAAAAGCAGACGCTTTGATGCTCCACCTGAGAGTAAATCTGTAGGGCTTGTCACCAGCATTCAGGCATCAATTCTGTTTGCTTCACAGCCAGACAGGACACGGGGGGGGGGGGGGGGGGGGGGATGCTCTTGGAAGAGCTGGCTATTCAGGAGTTTCTTTAAAATTGACAAGTAAGCCCCTGCTCTGTTTGTGCTTGGTAGGTCATTCCACATCTGTACAATGATGCCTGAAAGAAGTCTAGATTGTCCTGAGCATTGTGTGGGCGCTGCTAGCCAAAGATCCTATGATCACCGGCACGGCCGGGCCTTTGCCAGAGGATTCAGGAAGATAGTAGTTGTACCATCCAGGACTTTGAATTTTAGTGCTAGCAATTTGAATGTGATGCATGCAGCTAGCGGTAGCCGATGGAGCTCAATGAACAGAGGGGTGACATGTGCTCTTTTAATCATGGAAAGTTTCAAAAACCTCAAAGTAACATTAATACAGGTACAAAGCTATAAAAGTGGCAGGAGGGCCTGCTTTGGATAAAGGTTGATGGATTTGGGTCGAGCTGGTCTCTGGCTGAACAGTCTGGAGGGAGGGGGTGGCAGGCAGTTCAGGGAGTGTGAGAAAGCTAGCAGATCAACACTGTATTATTGTATCACAACTAATGTGTGTTTGACTTGGTTCAAAGTTTGTCAGCCATCTGCGGGCCCCTTGTTGTTTGGGGTCCTGAGCAATTGCCGGCCCTGCTGTCAGCCCGAGGCGCCTCAGGGTATCTGTAGGTTTAAATGCATTGTAACCTGAAAAATCCCAGTTTCTCAGCCTGATCAGAAGGTAAAACTTGAATGTTTAGCTTAAAAAAATAAACAGATTTTTATATATTGTCAAATGCAGCCAATTTGGACTCTGAGTTATTTTTTTTCTAAAGAAAGTCTGATTTATTCTGTAGTTGTTTCATCTTTCAGACTTTAGAGTTGTGAGAAAAAAAGTTAGTTCTGTATAAAATCATTCTACAGTTTGTCTTTTACTGTAGTCTGAAATAAACTCTGACGGTATCTTTAACTTCTTGTTGACAACAGCCTGAAGACAATCTTGAGCATTTATGAAAACATTTATAAAGTTATATAGTATTTTTTCAAGATCAAATTTGAGATATTTGCATGAAAACTAGTTAAAGTTAAAATTCACACTAGCAGGCATAAAACATTAAATTTACTTTGTCCAGTTAAATATTGACATAAAGAAGAGGCTACACATAGGAGAAACACATGTTTAATTCAGTTTGATGGTTGCAGCACAATCTGGAATAAATGTATGAGATTGACTCTAAATGATAAGTGTCGTTTTGTGAAACTTTTTTTTGTCCTAAATTGTAATACCTTTAAAACTTATTTTTTATTTATTAAATGCCTCTTGGAATTCTTCTCAGGCTGAACTATTATGATGAAACACTTTGGAGCAAATATACACAGAATCAGTCCAAAACTGGAGGCCAGAATAGCAAATATCTCCACAGCTACAGTGAATTTTCCAGGAGAGCTGACATATGCTGGGATGAAGGTGAGCCACACTGCACAGAATATCAGCATGCTGAAGGTTATCAGCTTGGCTTCATTAAAATTATCAGGTAGTTTCCGAGCTAGAACAGCTAACACAAAGCAGAAAACAGCCAGCAGGCCAATGTACCCGAGCACAGCCCAGAACCCAACAGCAGAACCTAATGCACATTCCAGGATGATCTTCTCCTTGTATGTGCTCAGATTCTTCATTGGGAATGGAGGGCTGAGTAACAGCCACACAGTACAGATTATAATTTGAATAAAAGTAACAAAAACAACAGTCATTCTTTGCTGTGGAGGCCCAAACCATTTCATGACATTACTACCTGGAAGTGTAGCTTTAAAGGCCATTAAAACCACTACAGTTTTGCCAAGAACACAGGAGATACAGAGAACAAAGGTGATGCCAAACGCTGTGTGTCGCAGCATGCAGGACCAATCAGAGGGAGCTCCGATGAAAGTTAATGAACATAAGAAACACAGAGTCAGAGAGAAGAGCAGCAGGAAGCTCAGCTCAGAGTTGTTGGCTCTGACAATTGGAGTTGTTCTGTGATGAAAGAAAATAGCTGCTGTTATGATGGCCAGACAGGCCCCACTAACAGAGAATGCAGCCAGGATGATTGCCAGGACTTCATCATAGGAAAGAAACTCCACAGGTTTGGGGAAACAAGCGTCTCTTTGTGCATTAGGCCACAATTCACTGGGACACGGGAAACAGTCTGGAGAATCTAAATGAACAAATCAGAATGAGATGTCAGATTTTAAGATTACCACTTAATTCGTCAGTGAACTAGTGTCCTGCTACAATAAAACAATTATTCAGTACAACCTTTTCTAGAGCAGGCATACAGCACAATAATGGGAACAAGTTTTCTTTTGGTACGCAGCCATGGCACATGTGTAGATAAAAGAAATGGGTGACAATGAGTAGAGAAGGGATGAGGGAGAAAAACAGGCAGAGGACAGAGCTGGAGTGCAGGAAAAACACCTCAAACATAAAAGCATACGTTCAGACAGTCACAACATTGTGTAGTGGGCGGGAGGGTGCGGGGATCCCCATGCAGCCAAGGGAGGCCGCAGTTATATTATCGCTTCCTTCTACCTCTTCTGTTCAGGAGTGGAAATTAGAGTTCTACGGAGGAGGAGAGTGTTGACAGCATGGGAGGGTGTAAGCATCTTTGTGAGCTTTTTTGTGTTCATGCATGCATGTTGTGTAAGTAACTAGTGTGTCTATGAACTTTCACAGTGTCTCTTGTCTAGAATCTGTTATGAGTTCCTGGCAAATTAATCCAAGAAGTCCACAGCTTCATGTGTGAAATAGGGGAGGGAGGAGGCAGAGCATCCACCTGTATCCATTCTCCATGGGAATTTAAATTCTTCAGCCTTCAAGGCCAACATTGGGGAGCCAAATTTAAATAACAGCAATTGTTTTGGAATAGGCCAGAGACGTTTTTTTTTTTTTTTTTTGCTTCTCTGCTTTATGTCATTATGTGGTCCTAGAGCAACAGACAAACAGCCAAATCAGGGAGTCAGTTTCCACCAAGCAAAGTTGTTTTCCATTCCGCAAACGAGATTCTAAACTGCAGCACTGCTCAGAGCATCCAGCTTACAATTCAGCTCATGTAATGTATGAGTTTGAGAGGTTACAGTACAACACAGCCCTTCATTGAGCTTGGGCAATTTGCTAATTGCTTCAGACAGCTTTACAATCTTCTGACTCATCAGGGACCCGCCTACTTCAAAAAGCAGAAACCCGGTTATCACCAATCCAATTATAAAAGTATATCTAGACAGGCAGACATATAATCTTCACTCGATCCAGGAACCGGTATGTTCTGTCAGGTCAGGAAAGTGCAGAAAAGTTTATCAATGGCATTTAGAGGCCAACTGACCAGATCTATGGTTGATTAAATTCCAGAGAAGAATGCAAAAAGGTGCCCAAGATAGACGGACAGGACAGAGATCAGCATGCAGGGCAGAGTTGGGAGGAGGAAAAAAAAGTGTGTGTTTTTTCCTTGGGAGCAGGAATTGATGTTTCCACTCAGTTTTTTAAAAATAAACACGAATTCATAAGAAACCTTTGATCTCACCTGTTGTGTTACTAATCTCTCCTTCAGGACATGGTATACAATCATAGCAGCATTTTGGTTTTCCTTTTTGCAAAACTTTACGTGTTCCTGAAAGACAACTCTCAGAGCACACTGATACTGGTACCTGTCAAGAAGACACGAACCAAATTTAAGTTTAACAAATCAGCTGTGAATCAATAGATCAAAATCTCAGCCTGTGTAAAATTGTTATATTGCTTACTTGTGTTCCACCATCTACCCAAGTTATGTTTCTGTTGATATGAAATTCCTGGCCTTTAGGCAGTGATGCATCATAGTACCCTACTGTTACCAGCTCAATAACTCCACTCTCACTCTTCTGCCAGTTGATAAGCTCATAAAAAGCTACAGGATCCCCATTGGCATCAAATGATACAGGATAACCATTTCGAGAAAAGTTGACATTTTTAAGTTTTTTTAAAACCTGTAGAGCATGAAAAAAAATATGTAAAACAGAGGAGAATAGGAACAACAGGCTGCAAATTTCTGTTTAGAGGACCTGATTTGTAACAAAAATGACTAAATATTAACTTCTCAGTTTAGCTGACCTGTTTAGATGTCAACATTGTTCCTTTGTCACAAAGAGTGGTTATATTTTTTTCCATACAAATTGTGTTGTGAATGGCATGAGCTATTGCATAAACAGCCTTGTACACCATATTGGTAGGTCCTAGTTGAGATGTATCAGTGTACGGGTTTTTTAGATGTTCCATGTCTTCAGTTCCATCACATACTCCTGTCTCTGGATTAGAACCTAATAGTTTAAAAATAAGATATTATAGTTTTATCACTCAAAAAAACTATATACTTTTAATAGTACGTATTTAAGGGTACTAATTGCTCTGGTCAAAAAATAGTAACTATTTTTCAAGGTCACTAAAAATATTAACACTTAAGACAAACACTTAATCAGTGTTTTCATTCATTTATTTATTTATTTATTTATTTTCCAAAGATATGTCTTACTTTTTTCAATTTTGCATTTGAATGCATCCTCCCAGAACTTAGTAAGCAAAGGTGAGGCAGCTACTTTTGTGGGAGAAAGATCTAGAAGAAACTCCCTCAGACCTGGGATGTCTGATTGCTGAAAGCCAACTCCAATGGCCCCTGCACAGAAACTGAACCTTGTTAAGTAAGTTTCGATTATCCAGCCCTCACTTCCGATCCATTGGCGAGGTGACGGAGGGTCCTGAGCCAACTCCTCTAACAGAACATTCATATCTCCAGAGGCTGTAAACACCACGATTGCCTTTGCTGATGACCTGCAGAAACATCAGAAAACAATCTCTTGAACTCATACATTTTAAGCAAGCATTTTCAAGATGAAATGTAAAAATATGTACCTTGTAATAGTATTGAGCATTTACACATTCATGAATAGAACATGTGTAACTTTTTTCACTTTAATTTTGCCCACTTTCTAAATTTTTCAAGAAGATGTAACAAAACTACATAAGATTTTAACCTTTTGAACCCATTTTGCTATGCACAACATCCACATCATTATACAAGATACACAATAAAAATGAGTGATGTGAAAACCTGCGGATGACATCAGCTACTTTCTGAATCTTTCTACGAGGGTCGGTCCGATAAAAGGATTCAGAGTACTCCACACAGATTCCCTCTCTCTGTGCTGCAGCAAGAAAAGACGCCATGCCATAATTTCCATAATCTGAGTCTGAGCGGACAGCTCCTATCCAAGTCCATCCAAAGTGTTTCACCAGTTTGGCCAGTGCATCAGCCTGGAACTGGTCACTGGGAATTGTTCTGAAGAAAGTTGGATACTCTTGCTTGTTTGACAGACAGGCACATGTGGCAAAGTAGCTGACCTAAAATTAGAAAATCATAGCGTGATTAATTAAAATAAGCAAAAAGTATGTGAAAGTTACCATGTAGTAATAAATTCCTTCTTACCAAAGGGATGCTGAAGGGCCCGATGATGCGTGACAGGCTGATGGATGTTGTGGATCCAGAGTCTCCAACAACAGCCATCACCACATCAGACTGAGAACAGTTGCTGTCTTTGTAAAACATGGGATCCTGACCATTCATCATCTGAAAGGCCACATGGGCGGTTTTAATCACTGATACACACGTATCATAAATCTGATAACCCAGTTTTACTCCTGGCAGCAGCTCTGTGCTGTTGTTGATTTCAGCAATAGCAAAGATCATTGCTTGAGAAAACTGCAGGTTTCGAGCATTCAGGCTGCACAGAATCAAAAGGGTAGTTTGAACATTTAAGTTAAATATAACCAGTTCATTAGCCTTTTAAAATACTACCATACTATTGAGTTCTTACACAAACACAGATAAAATATAATGTGAATCAAACACGTGATACTGCTTTTTATTTGAGAATAAAAACAATAAGTCAAAGTATGCTTTTTTTTTTTTTTTTAGAAAATTTTACAATATAAAATGACTATCTAGTGTTAAGGATTGAAATTAAACATAAACATTTCTTAAATAAGTTTTAATAACTTCAAAGCTGAACAATAATGAGAAGAAAATTGTGCTTTTTGGTTGACATTGTTTACATCATATCCACAACGTTCCATCTAACAACTTAATTTCCATTCATATACCTTCCTCACCTTTTTCAACCATTTTTATGTTTTTTCTTACCTCCCTGTGCACACTGGAGGCACTGGCTTGACAGTGTAGTTATTGACTGCCGTTTGCATCATGTAGTGAAAGGAAAAAACACCTCCTAAAGAAAAGTCCCCAGCCTCTGAGAATGCAGGCAAAGACGGAGAACCTTGCAGAGAACATTTCATTGATGGAGCCTGAATAGGAACACCAGTACCACTCAGATCCACACTCCACTCAGTGATGCCATCCGCAGAACCACCAAAGACAAAAACTGACATCAGAGCCAAAATAGTCACTGCTAAGCTCAGCCCAATAGAGTCAGGTTTCATTGCCATTTCTCAAGAGTCTGTTTTTGAGTGTAAGTGTGTTTTACAGGATTATTAACTCCTGGTGTGCATCAGCTGGCTTTTCGTCAAGAAGGAGTCACCCCCATCCTACTTTTTTTTTGGGGGGGGGTACGCCTTTCTGGATTTGACAAGGGCGTCATTTTGTCGCTTCTCTTCTCATAGTTTAAAGTGACCTCTTTGATTATCAGAGATATTATACTTTTCCTCATTTATCTAACTTTAGAAGCGACTGCTCAAAACCTTTATGGACAGGATTTCTGGGCACATAGGTGTTGAGGGGATCTGTTTTGGTGGCTTCACCAAGCCATGTTCTCCAGCTTTTGCTGGAATGGTTCAGAGCCAAGTGTAAAGCATCTGGGGTGGTGTGTGTGTGTGTGTGTGTGTGTGTGTGTGTGTGTGTGTGTGTGTGTGTGTGTGTGTGTGTGTGTGTGTGTGTGTGTGTGTGTGTGTGTGTGTGTGTGTGTGTGCTCAGAGTTCAACTGTTGTATTTATTTATTTATTTTTTATTCATGCTAGTGAAGGTTCTCAGTCATCCAGGTCATTGTAATCCAAAGGGTTCAAATGAAGGCAACTGGACTTCTTTGGTTTCTTGAAATCAAAGAAGTTCAGTGCTTTAATTACGTTCTTAGTCGTGACGGAAGACAAAGGGATGACTTCAGGAAAACGAGTGGCAGAGCACATGAGAGTCAGCAGGTATTTACGCCCTGAGCGAGAGGGAGGAAGAGGCCCCACACAATCTATAACTATGTGCTCGAAAGGAGCAGAGACCACCGGAGTAGGGCACAGAGGAACCGGTCGAATCTTCTGATTCGGATTTCCCACAGTCTGACACGTTGGACAACTGCGACAAAACTCTGCAACGTGTTGCTCCAGAGTTGGCCAGAAGAAATGACGTAGGATGGTGTTATATGTTTTATTCATCCCTAAGTGACTGGACTACTCGCTGTCATGGGCTAGGGAAAGGGCATGAGGCCTACATTTTTCAGGAACCACAATCTGTTTAATTTGTGCCCAATAGGAGCCTTTAGCAGAGGGAGCAGCCCAGCAACGGGACAAAATGTCATTTTCAACCACATAAGAAGCTTGACCAGATTTAGGAGCAACACCAACCAAAGCAAAAAGAGACGCAAGACTTGGGTCTGTTTTCTGAGCATCACAAGTAATAGGTAGATCCCGGGTTCAAATCCCGGATGAGCCCCCACTCTGTTACGTCCCTCAGCTCGCTAGGAGTGATGTATAGGAGGGAGTAAAATATGTTGTGTGTAGGTTTAGTAATAACAAAGTAAATGTGTCTCCAACAAAGGATTTTATTAACAAACACAAAGAGCCTGAACAAACAAAATGGAAAAAGGACTAACATAAAGCGCCAAGCCAAAAGAGCTGGGAGGAGGAAAAGTATCTAACTAAAATATTCAATATATATATATACACAAAAAAGAGACGTCCTGGTAAGCAGAGACCTCGGGGGAAATCCAAAGGGGGGGGGGGGGGGGGGGGGGGTCAAAGGCCAGTCCAAAGTCACTTTACCAGAAATCCTAATTATCACAATTCTAAATCACTAAGTCACTGAAGTACCACAAAACTAACACACACACAGGCGAGGCAGAAGCCACTGAGGCCACCTTGTGGCCAAAAAGGGGCACTGCACGTAACATCATAGCTATGCTGATGACACCCAGATATACCTAGCCTTATCACCTAGTGACTGTCGGCCACTGGGCTCACTCTGTCAGTGCCTAGAGCAAGATAACGACTGAATGCAGTCAAACTTCTTTCAACTAAACAAAGACAAGACTGAAGTTATTGTCTTTGGCAACAAGAAGGATAGAATGGATGTTATTGCTCAGCTAGATTCCAGGGGAGTAAAGACAAAAACCCTGATTAGAAATCTTGGTGTTAACATTGACTCTGACCTGAGCTTCTCTGGACATATTAAGGCTATAACTTAATCAGTGTTTTATCACCTTCATCAGATATCAAGAGTCAGAGGTCTCATGTCCAGACCAGACTTAGAGAAGGCTTTTATATCTAGCCAGCTGGACTATTGCAATGGTCTCCTAACTGGTCTTCCCAAAAACGCTGTGAAGCAACTGCAACTTGTTCAGAATGCCACTGCTGAAGTCTTAATAAGAACTAAGAGAATGGAGCACATCACTCCCGTTCTTAGATCCCTACACTGGTTACCAGTAAAGTACAGAATAGATTTCAAAGTGCTTCTACTAGTTTACAGATCACTCCATGGCATGGGACCAAAATAAATGTCCAATCTCATCCTTGTCTACACACCCAATAGGGCTCTGAGATCCCTTGGAAACAATCAGCTGGTAGAACCATGGATCAGAACAAAACATGGTGGAGATGCTTTTAGTTACTATGCTGCTCACACATGGAATCAGCTTCCCCGTGACCTCAGATGTGCCCCAACCCTAGTGTTGTTTAAACCAAAACTAAAAACCCCAATGTACTCATCAGCCTTTAAATGAATCGTTTCTTATGTTGCGTTATCTCCACTGCAACCTGTGCTGGGACTTTGTCTTTTCCTTTAGCTCTAAACTGTAATTCTATCTATGTGTATTCCAATTTGTGTTTTAATGTTGTTTTTTTTTCACATCTTGTACTGAAAACTGTAAAGCACATGAATTGCCTCTGTGTTTGAAATGAGCTCTATAACTAAAGCTGCCTTTCCTTTGTTCATCTGACAGTAATTTACCCACGTACGCTACATCAGTCTTCTCTCTATTAACTGCACCTTATGAAGCAGTCAAAGGCAACAAAAAAATTGGAAATACTACCTCTATAAACACTCTAAACTTGAAAAAAAGTCTATCTGTTTTCTGGTAGTGTTTGGTTTTAGGATTTAATATGGTTAAAATGCTATTTTGAAAAGTTTGCATTTGTGACACCACAAATAAGGACATCAGTATAGAAATTCCTCTCACTGGAAGAGAGCAGCTGCTGTTGGAGGAGTAGTAGATCTTATTTATGCTCCTCCCAGGTCTCAGCTTCTCTGCTTAACACAGCCTGAGGAGTGGCTTTTTTTTCTATTAATTGACAGAGCCCTAAAGGTGCTCAATCTGGAAGGTACTGAAAATGTCTGGAATTAAACTGCTTAAAATCGCTTCATGCGAGAAGAATTTTGAAACTTCTCCAAAAAGTTTTGTTCAACTGTAGAAGTATTATAACCTACAAAAAAAATCATTGTATAATAGTACTACTACTACTACTACTACTACTACTACTACTAATAATAATAATAATAATAATAATAGTAATAATAGTAATAATAACAATAATAATAGTACTACTAATAATAACAATAATAATAATAATAATACATTTTATTTAAAAGCACCTTCCTAAACACTCAACACTCAGAATAAAAACACAAATCATTAAATAGGAACATAAGTAGACATAAATACAGCATGAAACAAGAAAAGCAAATAAACAAGAAATTAAACAAGGCACTATACCCGATGCCCTAGTTAACTGTAATAAACCCAATCAGCACAAACCACACAAAAAAACAAAGATCATCACAAAAGTTTGTAACCTAAAATGTGGATGCTTATTAAGGTTTATTCTGTATCAATATTTAACATCACAACAGTAAAAACATCTGTATTGATGTTACACAGCTTAAATTGCAGGGCACCACTAGGCAGTGGACAGTGCAGTACCACCATCTATTTGTACACGCAGGTCACTGTTTTACACACACACACACACACACACACACACACACACACGGGCGCGCGCACACGCACACGCACAAGCACACACACAGTGAGTAAATGTTGTTCTTGAATTTGATTAAAATGAACATGACACAATGTTCATAAAATTGGAATTTTTGTAAAATAAAATATTCTCATTGCCTTGTTTACTGTACTGATGCTAGTTCGTTTCTCAATAGACATTGTTCTGTGTCACTTATGCTACAACAACAAAAACATTCTAGTTACAAGTTTGGCTGGCATAGTCCAATGTCTGTTTTTGAGAAATTGCTGTTTATCTTGCCCACCACTTTTTCTTCCATAGCGCACGCGTGGTGTCTAAAACCAGAGTTGACACACACGTTGCACGCAGATGTATACTTCTACCATGGTCTCCTAGCAAACAGGTTCATTATTTAATCAAATTCAGGTCCATTTTTTTCATCATGGCTCATGCAAGAAACATTTTCTGTCACAATTAAAGTGTCATTTTGCCATCTTGATTCAAAGTTTTATTTATTTTACATTTCTGAGCATCGATTTACAAAATAAAATAAAATAACAAGGAGCAATCACATTTTGCTCATTATAAATCTTTTGGAGTTCTTCTCAGGCTGAAATAAGATGATGAAACACTTTGGAGCAAATATACACAGAATCAGTCCAAAACTGGAGGCCAGAATAGCAAATATCTCCACAGCTACAGTCAATTTTCCAGGAGAGCTGACATATGCTGGGATGAAGGTGAGCCACACTGCACAGAATATCAGCATGCTGAAGGTTATCAGCTTGGCTTCATTAAAATTATCAGGTAGTTTCCGAGCTAGAACAGCTAACACAAAGCAGAAAACAGCCAGCAGGCCAATGTACCCGAGCACAGCCCAGAACCCAACAGCAGAACCTAATGCACATTCCAGGATGATCTTCTCCTTGTATGTGCTCAGATTCTTCATCGGGAATGGAGGGCTGAGTAACAACCACACAGTACAGATTATGATTTGAATAAATGTGAAAAACACAACAGTCATTCTTTGCTGTGGAGGCCCAAACCATTTCATGACATTACTACCTGGAAGTGTAGCTTTAAAGGCCATTAAAACCACTACAGTTTTGCCAAGAACACAGGAGATACAGAGAACAAAGGTGATACCAAACGCTGTGTGTCGCAGCATGCAGGACCAATCAGAGGGAGCTCCGATGAAAGTTAATGAACATAAGAAACACAGAGTCAGAGAGAAGAGCAGCAGGAAGCTCAGCTCAGAGTTGTTGGCTCTGACAATTGGAGTTGTTCTGTGATGAAAGAAAATAGCTGTTGTTATGATGGCCAGACAGGCCCCACTAACAGAGAATGCAGCCAGGATGATTGCCAGGACTTCATCATAGGAAAGAAACTCCACAGGTTTGGGGAAACAAGCGTCTCTTTGTGCATTAGGCCATGATTCACTGGGACATGGGAAACAGTCTGGAGAATCTGCAAGCAAATACAAAAATACATTAAGATTGACTTGTCAATCAGTAGTAAATGCTCAATCACAATGATCTCACCTGTTGTGTTACTAATCTCTCCTTCAGGACATGGTATACAATCATAGCAGCAGATGGGTTTTCCTTTCTGCAGGACTTTATGAGTTCCTGGAGGACAACTCTCAGAGCACACTGATACTGGGACCTGTTAGAAAGGTTCAAGCAAAATTACATTTTTTTTTCTTTTTGTCAAAAACGAGAAACACATTTTCTCAAAAATTTCTTCTGTAAAATAATCATCATTATTCTTAATACTTGTGTGCCACCATCCATCCAGGTTATGTTCCTGCTGATATAAAACTCCTGTCCTTTAGGCAGTGATGCATCATAGTACCCTACTGTTACCAGCTCAATAACTCCACTCTCACTCTTCTGCCAGTTGACCAGCTCATAAAAAGCTACAGGATCCCCGTTAGCATCAAATGATACAAGGTAACCATTTCTGGAAAAGTTGACTTTCTTTAGTTCAGATAAAACCTGTAAAGTAAGAAAAAAGTTACAGAACAAGGAAGAAAGTAGACCGAAACAAATATCAAAGAGTAAGTTCCTAAACATTTCTTGATCTTTTCTAAAATTTTGCACCAACCTCTTTGGATTCTGATGTAATGATTTTGTCACACTGAGTGGTGGAATTACTTTCCTGACACACTGCATTGTGAATAGCATGAGCTATGGCATAAACAGCCTTGTACACCATGTTAGTGATTCTTAGCTGAGACGTTTCAGTGTACGTGCTTTTGAGTGATTTTATATCTTCAGTTCCATCACACACGCCTTTTACTGGCTCAGCACCTAAAACACACAAGAAGCAGGACGGAAATGTAAAAAGTGAAAATAAATTGCACTGATAACTCTAACTGAATACACAAAGCTTCATTTAAACATTTTTTTTCATCAAACAATTCAAAACTCTAAAAGGTCAACCTCGAGTAATTTATTCTGCTGGTTTTTTTAACAATAGTTTGAAACCCGTGATAATCATTTTTATATCTGATTGTGAAAACATTATTACTTTCTATCAGTGTGCAGTTGAATGTCTGCTCCCAAAACTCTGTTAGAAGATATGAGGCAGCCACATCAGCGGGGGAAAGATCCAGCAGAAACTCTCTCAGACCTGGGATGATGGACTGCTGAATACCAACTCCTATCACCCCCACACAGAAAGTGCAGCTCATCAGCTGCGGGTCAGTCACCCAGGATTCACTTCCTATCCACTGACGGGGGGCTAAAGGTTCCCGGGCCAACTCATCTAGCAGGACCCTCATTTCTCCGTCAGAAGCAAATGCCACAACAGCTACTGCTGTAGACCTAGAGAAGCATTCAAATGGGCCAAAATAAACATGCTTGAATATTTTTATTTTACGTTGTTTTTTTTTTGTTTTTTTTGCATTTTCGTGAATATGATTTAGATCTGTTACTAATGAAAACGTGATCCTTTGTCAGTCCCACTATCTTTCTCTGCTCATTCAATGATAGTTTTTTTTATTCACTTGATGGTCACCATCTTCAATACAAGGTCTGAATCAGTGATGTATGAACCTGCGGATGACATCAGCTACTCTCTGGATCTTGCTCTGTGGGTTGGTCCGATAGAAGGATACGGAATATTCCACACAGATTCCTTCTCTCTGTGCTGCAGCAAGAAAAGACGCCATCCCATAGTTTCCATAATCTGATTCTGAGCGGACAGCGCCTATTCAAGTCCAGCCAAAGTGTTTCACCAGCTTGGCCAGTGCATCAGCCTGGAACTGGTCACTGGGAATGGTTCTGAAAAAAGACGGGTACTGCTGCTTGTCTGACAGACAGGCACATGTGGCAAAGTGGCTGACCTAAAACAAGAAAATCATAGCGTAGATTTACCAAAACACTTTAAAAGATCATCCAAAAGGTGTGTTGTATATTTTTTACTACTTTAGTTTGCAGCAACGCTAAACTCCTTACCATAGGGATGTTGAAAGGTCCAGTAATGCGTGACATGCTGATGGATGGTGTGGATCCAGACTCTCCAACAACAGCCACTACCGTACCAGACTGGGAGCAAATGTTGCTTTTGTAAAACACAGGGTCCTGACCGTTTGCTAGCTGAAATGCCTCGTGCACAGCTACAGGCACCGACGCACATGAGTCATAGATCTGATATCCAAGCCTAATGCCCGGCAGCAGCTCTGTGCTGTTGTTTATCTCCTCAGTAGCAAACATCACTGCACGAGAGAAGCGCAGTTCCCGCCCATCAATGCTGCACATAAAAATATGAGAGCAAATAATTACATAGGCATTAAAAATGAATAGTATAGAGACAAATATTTAAAAATGGAGCCAAGAAGATTGGGTTTGTGTACACCTATTACTCTCTCCCTCCTCTTCCCGTTGTACCAACCTGCCTGCACATCTTGACATTTCAGGCTTAGTGGTGTAGTTATAAATCACTGTGTGCAGTTTGGAGTGAATAGAGAAAACACTTCCAATAACAAAGTCTCCATCTGATGAGAATGCAGGCAAACGGCCAGCACCCTGCACTGTACATGTCATTGATGACGCCTCAGTAGTAACACCAGCACCTGTCCGAGCCTCTAAGGAATAAAACCTTTGTTTATTACCATCCAGGGAATCACCAAATAGAAGTGACAGATCTAAAAAGCTCATTGCTAATTCCACTCTAACTAATAGAGTTGTGATCTCCATTCCTAAAGCATCTGTGACTACATGTGGTTTTATATACCTTCAGCTCCATAGAAACCAGACATGTGTGTCTGTTGACATCATTAATAGAATTGGTGTCTCTTCTAATTTGTTCTCACATCAATAATAATTTAAAATTAAACTTTTTACTTTGGAAGTTCTATTTTAAATCAATGAAATTTGTAAAACTGAGTAGTAGTGCTATGGCCAGACACCGTACAGGTAAGTATGTTGGGCTATATTTAAATCTTTTCTTTTTCTGACACATAGGATTTAACTTTTCCATTTTTATTATCGGAGTTTCTGTTTAAGTCTCAGACAGAATTGCCATTCGTTTCCTTTTCATAGTGTCCATAATTCCTCAGTTGCCTTCTTCCTATGTCCCTTATTTCACCATGTGCACACGTTAAAAACAATAAATACATAAAACACAAATGTGAACAACTCTGTAGCAAAACACTGACATCTCTTTGATTTCCTTCACAGCAAAAACTAGATTTTGAAAGTAATTTATTTCCAACCTGAAACTCTGAAATTCAATGGCAGTTACTAACATTTACGAGGGGATGGTTACATTTAATGTCAAAAATGCAGACTCAGCTTTTGTTTTATTGTTTAAGGAGGATATAGCCCATAAAAGCATTTCACAGGTAACACATTTGTAAGCTACTTACTGACACACAAAACAAAAATAGATGGTAAAATAAATGTTTCATGACTATTTCAGCAAATTTAAAAGGGAAAATCACACTGCATGATTTCAAATGTGAGGCTGACACGAATAAGTATCTTAAATAGGTTCCGTACATTAAACACATTTGTCAGGGACACAAACCATGAACATTTATTTATTTGTACGATGTATGTGTTGAAATGTTTATTAAATATGGGAAAATCCACAATTGTTGGCTATAAAATGAAACAAACTAAGTTTGTGTGGGTATTGTTGTTCGGGTGGTACCAAATGTTTATTAACCTTCCATATTTTACAGTTGATTTTTATTCATTAAATATTTTTTAGAGTTCTTCTCAGGCTGAAATAAGATGATGAAACACTTTGGAGCAAATATACACAGAATCAGTCCAAAACTGGAGGCCAGAATAGCAAATATCTCCACAGCTACAGTAAATTTCCCAGGAGAGCTGACATATGCTGGGATGAAGGTGAGCCACACTGCACAGAATATCAGCATGCTGAAGGTTATCAGCTTGGCTTCATTAAAATTATCAGGTAGTTTCCGAGCTAGAACAGCTAACACAAAGCAGAAAACAGCCAGCAGGCCAATGTACCCGAGCACAGCCCAGAACCCAACAGCAGAACCTAATGCACATTCCAGGATGATCTTCTCCTTGTATGTGCTCAGATTCTTCATTGGGGATGGAGGGCTGAGTAACAACCACACAGTACAGATGAGAAGTTGAACAAATGTAAAAAACACCACAGTCATTCTTTGTTGTGGAGGCCCAAACCATTTCATGACATTACTACCTGGAAGTGTAGCTTTAAAGGCCATTAAAACCACTACAGTTTTGCCAAGAACACAGGAGATACAGAGAACAAAGGTGATACCAAACGCTGTGTGTCGCAGCATGCAGGACCAATCAGAGGGAGCTCCGATGAAAGTTAATGAACATAAGAAACACAGAGTCAGAGAGAAGAGCAGCAGGAAGCTCAGCTCAGAGTTGTTGGCTCTGACAATTGGAGTTGTTCTGTGATGAAAGAAAATAGCTGCTGTTATGATGGCCAGACAGGCCCCACTAACAGAGAATGCAGCCAGGATGATTGCCAGGACTTCATCATAGGAAAGAAACTCCACAGGTTTGGGGAAACAAGCGTCTCTTTGTGCATTAGGCCACGATTCACTGGGACACGGGAAACAGTCTGGAGAATCTAGAACAAATAAATAAAATATGGTTTGTTAGCAATCAATGTTTTATGTAAAGGGAAATTGCATTGAAAATGTTTACTTTACTTGTCGTGTTGCTAATCTCTCCTTCAGGACATGGTATACAATCATAGCAGCAGATAGGTTTTCCTTTCTGCAGGACTTTATGAGTTCCTGGAGGACATTTAACAGCACACACTGATACTGGGACCTGTTGGAAACACATACAACTACAGTTCAAAAAAGAGGTGTATAAATGTTTCAGAAAATACTTTTATCTTTAACATTGTTTCTTACATCCGTACCACTCTCCACCCAAGTTATGTTTCTATTAAAATGAAACTCCTGTCCTTTAGGCAGTGATGCATCATAGTACCCTACTGTTACCAGCTCAATAGCTCCACTCTCACTCTTCTGCCAGTTGACCAGCTCATAAAAAGCTACAGGATCTCCGTTAGCATCAAATGACACAGGATAACCATTACGGGTGAAGTTGACTTTTTTTAATTCAGGTAAAACCTGCAAAAAAATCAAAAAATGAAGAAGACAATAAGGAACCATAGAAAATTACGTTTAGTGTCAGAGGCTTACTGCTTAACCAAAAAATAAAATGCTGAACTAACCTGTGACAACTTTATTTTGTTCAGGTTGTCACACTGAATGGACGCATTGGTTAGCTGGCAAATTGCACTGGTAATGGCATGAGCTATTGCATAAACAGCCTTGTAGACCATATTAGTAGGTCTTAATTGAGACGTATCAGTGTACGGGTTTTTTAGCTTCCTTATGTCTTCAGTCCCATCACACATCCTCTTGTTTGGAAAAGCATCTAACACATTTGCAAATAGAAAAATTCACCGAAGTTAAATGCTTTTAGCTGTTTCATTTATATATTGAATAAGTAGTATATCCTCTTGTGAAAACATAGCAGTTATATTCTGCAAAACTATTTACAAAGAGAACAAAAAAGGCCTCAACTGTTTATTTATTTTTTTGTATTTTTAAAGTCTCACTTTTTTCTAGTTTGCAGTTGAAGGCATCCTCCCAAAACTCAGTAAGCACAGGTGAGGCAGCTGCTTTAGTGGGAGAAAGATCTAAAAGAAACTCCCTGAGACCTGGGATGACTGATTGCTGAAGGCCAACTCCAATGGCCCCTGCACAGAAACTGAAGCTCATTAAATAAGTTTCAATTATCCAGCCCTCACTTCCGACCCACTGACGAGGAGGTGGGGGGTCCCGGGCCAGCTCTTCCAACAAAACCTTCATTTCTCCAGCAGCAGTAAATGCCACAACAACCGTCGCTGATGACCTGCAAAAAGACATCAGGATACAAACATGTGAACTCACATTTCAGATAAAATATTGTGATTTGTATTCTCAAGTGGGATGGCCTTCTTTGTCCACCAGGAGGTTGGGACACTAATACACTTTCATTTATAAGGCCATTCTTGGATTACTACCCAACTACGTCTGTAACTTCTCACACTCTGCGTGCATAAAACCAGCTATAACTTTGTGTTCCATTTGCTCGTGCCAAATTGTGCAAAAGGATTTTTCTTTCACTCTAATCCTTCTCCAAGGAATAGGCTGAAGGAAAATTGGAAATGAACCAAGTTGATCCCCTGGAATACATTTAAAACCAGACTGAAAGCCCTTGAGATGGATTCCCTGTGTTGTAACGTCTTTCTGTAATTCTGTACACAACATGTCTGTGTATCTGAAAAAATGTGTAGTTGTAATTTTTGCTGACTCTTAGCCAGAGATGAAACACATGCATGACAGGTATATTAGAGATTCTAAATTGTACCTAAGTTTCAGTGGGTGTGTAAATGGCTATCTGTCTCTGTGCAACCTGTCATGGACCAGCTACCTGTCCAGGCTGCCCCGTGCCTGCTGCCCATAACCGCTGGAGTAAGGCACCAGCTTCCCATTACACTTATCAGGGTGTATTATTTGAAAGAAAAAAAAAAAACATAATGGATGTGTTACGACCCGCATTTGCATGCTTTTCAGCACCCTGGATAGCTCCTGCCTACTCAACTCTTTGTAGTCCAGGCGGAGTAGAGCCAATGTTAGTGTGGAAGCCCCATCTCTCTCCTAGTTGGTCTTTTTCAGCACCCTGGATAGCTCTTGCCTACTCGGCTCTCACTAGCCCATGCAGGCGAAGTACAGCCAATGCAATGGAAGGCCTATCTTTCTCCCAGTCGACCCTTTTCAACACCATTGATAGCATTGGCCCTCTGTGCTCTCTCCCTTCCAGTCAGCCCTTTCAGCATCATGGAGAAGCATCCTGTGGTGCATCACCTGCTGCATTAATTCAGCACTCAGCCACTGAACCTTTTTAAGGAAGAGCTTCTCCAGACAAAAAGACAACTCAGTACTAATCTGTTGTTCTTCCAGGTGTTGTGGTAGCTGGTGGTAACTTTTTCTAAGATTAACCACTTTTGCTCTAATCTGAGGATTTAGTGTTTAGCCTACTTTTTTTGTCCTTTAGATATTCAGCAGAGCTTTTGAGCTGCAGTTTCGTTCAGCATTATTGTTTAGTATTTGACTTAGTTTTGCTTTACTTCTACGTTTAGAGGGAGTGTTTAGTTTGAATGAGTTTTCCCTCTGTACTGTTAGGACTAGGGAGTCACCTTTTGTTTAGTATTGAAATTAGTCACCTTTGTTCTATTTATAGGGACTCTTTTGTTAGAATAAACCTTTTTAAATGGCTGTTGAGACTTTGGTTCATTCCATCCATATTTTTTATTTTCTGTGTTCCTCCCTTCTGGACCTCCTAGACCATGGAGGGAGTGTAACAGGATCCATATACCAAGTAACACACATGACTATGTGTTTTTAATGTTATGTTTTCTGAGAAACCACTATCGGTCATTAAGAGTTGCACATTCATGCAGTAGGTGACAATTTCCTTCAACCGCAACCCTAATTAGCAACACATTGAAAATGATGAAAATGTCAGAAAAAGCTATTTTCCTGGTCACAGGGACATTTGTTTTAATGAACTCGCCCACCTTGGCTCATGACTGCCCACAGGAACGTGAGAGCAGAAGATTCTTGCCTCCCCATCATGACAGACAAATTCAGTTTTGTGTTATTTGTGATGATATTTTTTATCCAATAAAATATTTTACAGCATTCTAAGCTTTGTTTTTGTTGGCAGAAGCAGAATAGTTGAGTTGCTGTTAGCCTATTGCAGGTGATAAATTTGCTCATGATGAATATTTATCAGACATATAATCCCATCGTTTTCCACTTAGTCACTCTAATCCCCTAAAAAAGGAGTACCAGACCCTTTTATCCACATTTAACACATCTAGAGAGCAAAACAACCTTTTTTTAATTAGTGAGTGACATCTTTAAGACTTCTTTACATTCTTCAGATAAACTATTTTCCAATTTGAAGTTGACTTAATATTTCTGTGTGAGTTTAAAAGATTCGGCAGCCTCTTATATTTGTGACAATTTACACTTCCATAAATAAAACACATATGATTGTTAATAATTAACCTGCTTTCTTTCTTTTTTTTTCCAAATTTCAGCAAAAAGGTTTAAGTACTTTAAAACACTTTAAAACTTTAAAAATGACATAAAAGCCCAAACATTTGAAATATTTTTAAACTCTTAACCCAACCTCTGTATTTTATTTTTAAATCAATAAAATCATTAAAAAGGTTATAGCATAATGTCCAGATCAATAAAAGATACACAATAAAAATAAGAGATTCTGAAACCTGCAGATAACGTCAGCTACTCTCTGGATCTTTCTCAGGGGGTCAGTTCGATAGAAAGATTCTGAATACTCCACACAGATTCCCTCTCTCTGTGCTGCAGCAAGAAAAGATGCCATCCCATAATTTCCATAATCTGAGTCTGAGCGGACAGCACCTATCCAAGTCCAGCCAAAGTGTTTCACCAGCTTGGCCAGTGCATCAGCCTGGAACTGGTCACTGGGAACTGTTCTGAAAAACGTTGGGTACTGCTGCTTGTCCGACAGACAGGCACACGTGGCAAAGTGGCTGACCTAAAGAATGAAAATAACAGTGTTGTGTGTTAACAAAAACAAAACGATTACTGGATATCTTTCACAATTTTTAATCAATACATACTAATTACCAGGGGAATGTTGAAGGGGCCAATGATGCGTGACATGCTGATGGTTGGCGTGGATCCAGAGTCTCCAACAACAGCCATCACCGCACCAGACTGAGAACAATGGCTGTCTTTGTAAAGCACAGAGTCTTGACCATTTAACAATTGAAATGCAACATCAGCAGCTACAGTCACCGAAGCACAGGTATCATAGATCTGATATCCAAGTTTGATGCCTGGAAGCAGCTCTGTGCTGTTGTTGATCTCCTCGATAGCAAAGATCATTGCAAGAGAATATTGCAGGTTGCGAAGATTAAGGCTGCACGGAATCAGCTCGGTTAGATTTTATATTTAGGCAACACAGAAAAGAAAACAATCGCGATTCATAACATTATCAAAAAACGAGAACTTAAAAAAAGTGTGTTTTGGAATTCTCCAAACAAAACTCTTGTAAAAAAATAAAATTAATTAAAAGTTAACCAACAAAAATCCTGACAAAGTGAGTTTAAACATGAAAATTATTTTATAAACTTAATTTAAATTACATTTCTTAAATGTAAAATTTAGAAGTTTTATATATATATATGTAACATGTATTTAAATTGTGCCTTTTTTTGACATTTTAGAAACATGCACAATTTTACCTTTTCCATCTCACATTTTTTTTAAACCATTTTTCTTTTTTTCTTACCTCCCCGTGCACACCGGAGGCTCTGGCTTGGTGGTGTAGTTATTGATCACCGTTTGCATCATGTAGTGTATGAAGAAAACTCCTCCGATAACAACCTCACCTGCCTCTGAAAATGCTGGTAAACGGGGGGTACCTTGTAGGGTACATTTCTTTGAAAAAGATTCAATCGGAACGCCAGCACCAATCAAATCCATTATTTTCCCAGTCCTCTGTATCAGACCATCTACAGAACCACCAAAGACAACAACTGACACCAAAACTAACAAGCTCACCACTAATCTCATCTCTCTGAAGACACATTTCATCTCCATTTCTCAAGAGCCTTTTTTTGCATGTGTGTGTTTCTACTAGTTTATAAGCTTTGGATGTGTGTCAGGTGGTTACTCCCACCAAATTTCCAAATGATCCCTCCCCAAACATGTGAGATCTTAATTGTTAGGGATGTCTGATATTATTGGTCTACCAATACTATCGGCCGATATTGGACTTGTAATGTAATATGGAAAAATATCGGTATCGGTTTTTACTCATAGTGACCCGACTTTCACCTACCATGCATGTATTAGCCATCAAACTCTTCGGCTTCATCTCCTCTTTCTCAAAATGCCAAAATATGACAGATCAGATATTTAGTTTGTGAGATATTTTAGTTTTACTTGGCACAACATGTGAATAATCAGGAATGTGTCCAGTGTTTAGAGGATTTGCTGTCATTACAGCTTGTAGCTATATGTAGCTAGCCAGCTAGTCCAGGCTTCACCCAAGACTCGCTTTTCTTAAATGAAGGTCTTTATAAATGTTTTATCACCATAACTACAATATAAAGACATAGAAAATGCATTACTGGCATTCACACACATCTTTGTGTTGCACTTTGCGATTAGCCTCACTTAGCATGTGTACCCTCATGCTGCTTACATTTTATCAGCTCTGTCATTCTAACACACGCCTAAATATTCTCTAAACACTGATGGTTACAAAGACAAATGCTCTAAAAGGCACGGACGTATAAAGCAAAATCATTGTGCTCATGATCCGTTTATTCTCTTTTTTCTGAACGTAAACACACCAGGACAGGAGTGGAGGAGCCGGAAACTACGTAAATGATAGATCTGAGTGCTCACTCCGTCACGTTTCACACAAACAATACAACAAAGATTGTTTGTAACAGCGATTTCTCACTTTGACCAGTTTTCAAAACTTAAAACATTTTAACCTTTTTATGATGTAGTTCGCTTGTACTATTTATTAACATATTAATAAAACCTTTTTCCATCATAAGCCTAATACTTATCTTTGGCCTAAAGGTGTCACAGAGTATTTGTCGGGATTATCTCAGGGAGAATGTCGTTCAGCTGCTGTTGGACAAACTACAAGTGGCATTATTTTCCATTATTAACTTAAATGGAAGTTATCAGTTTGCACTGATAATGTTTAAAGCTTAAGCACTCAGGATAGGAGATATGCTGTGTTGGCAACCTATTTTTTTTTCTTTTTTCATTAGGGGGACCCCGCAATAATCAGCATCGGTTTATAATGGGATCAGAAATAAACCTTTGAAGGTTGAGCGGGTTGTCCAGTAATCGGAAGGTTGCAGGTTCGATCCCGGCTCCGGACAAAGAATTCTGCTGTTGTGTCACACTTAACCCACCTTGCCTGCACGTGGTGGTCAGAGGGACCAGTGGCGCCTGTGCTCGGCAGCCTCACCTCTGTCAGTGCGCCCCAGGGCAGCTGTGGCTACATTGTAGCTCATCACCATCAGTGTGTGTGAGTGTGTGTGTGAAGGGATGAATGATACACTGTAGTGTAAAGCGCTTTGGAGTCCTTACTCTGAGAGGCGCTATACAAGTGCGGGTCATTTATCATTTATCATTTATACTCATCGAAGTAGTGTGGGGTGATGTGTCCAGGTGTCTGCCACAGTGTGGGGTGGCAGACACCTGTAACTTCAATCCAAGCAGCATTTGTGGGTGTGTTACTATTCAAGCTTTGGGCATATTTAGAGCTTGAACCTTGCCCACCAGTCGCAGAGTCGCGGAGGTTGTCAGAGCGAGTGGTAGAGGACAAAAACAATGCCGAGAGGAATATTCAGTGCTGAAGAAGCTCTTCGTCTAGTACTGGCAGATTCGGATTCCGAGGAGGAATATTTCCTTTCCGAGGATGATCTGCGGTCTTCTAGTGAGACTGAAAGCGTGGCTTCAGCACGCAGCAACAGGGAGTCTGTCAGCAATGACACGGTTACACAAGCAACCTATCCCGCCCTTACCTCGTCCGATGTTCTGCGTCACCGTGTCCGTGGTCGGGGAAAGAGACGTGGCAGGGGGGTGGGTGGGGGCTTGAGCACCTCGTACCGGGTCTGATCCTTTGCTCCACCATGACGGGGGGATGGGGGTGGTGGTGGGGGTCTGTGCTCTTGTGTGTTTTCGACTTGCCTCTTTCTCGCACTCTTTTCTATGTTTATTCTATTGTTATTGTTATTGTTATATGTTATTTTTATTGTTATTTCTATGTATGTTCTATTGTTCGTGTGTTGAGTTGTGCCATGGCACAAACTGTGACAGGATTAGTCTCTGATGATTTGTTGGGTGAAATCCCATAATTCTCAGGGTCTGTGAAAAGGCACACCGACATCATTTATTATGTGAGTGGAAGTGTCTAAATATAGACGTTGGCCCTATAAAGAGTTAAGAGTAAGACAATATCGGATAGCGGTAAAAAAAAACAATATTGAGCATCTCTATTCATTTTCCACATTTATTTGAAATATTTAATAGCACATTCTATTACATACAGCCTTTACATATACAACTGTCTATTTTGGTAAAGAAAATCTGGAATAACTAATTGAGTGTGTTTTTCTGACTTTTTTTTTCATTTTCATTTGCTTACTTAATAATTTTATTGCATTTGTTGTGTCGAAAATTTTTCAACTGAAAAATGAAAGATCCCAAATATACTGTAGGTGAAGGTAAAGAACATCTGGTAATGCTTCCTTTTAGTCCCCTTAATTACTAAGTACATACATGGTAATTACATAGTAAAATAACGTGTATTATTGTTTCTGAGTTCTTCAACAGTTATTACCATGTAACTCGGGTTCAATTCTAGTTTTTAGTAATCATTCCCTGTAAATACTACTTGACACAATAAATACACTTTTTACAATTATACACTTCAACTTTCTACATAATTACCATGTAAGTACTTAGTAATTAGGGGACTGTACAAGGAAGCATTACCGAATTTCTTCTTAATTTGTATTCAGTTTATAAAGTACAGCACATCAAAAACATCACTTTTATTTATTTGTCAAAGTCTATAGAGTCTCATGACCTTCACTCATTTTTTATTGATTACGTATTTCTTGGAGTTCTTCTCAGGCTGAACTATTATGATGAAACACTTTGGAGCAAATATACACAGAATTAGTCCAAAACTGGAGGCCAGAATAGCAAATATCTCCACAGCTACAGTCAATTTTCCAGGAGAGCTGACATATGCTGGGATGAAGGTGAGCCACACTGCACAGAATATCAGCATGCTGAAGGTTATCAGCTTGGCTTCATTAAAATGATCAGGTAGTTTCCGAGCTAGAACAGCTAACACAAAGCAGAAAACAGCCAGCAGGCCAATGTACCCGAGCACAGCCCAGAACCCAACAGCAGAACCTAATGCACATTCCAGGATGATCTTCTCCTTGTATGTGCTCACATTCTTCATTGGGAATGGAGGGCTGAGTAACAGCCACACAGTACAGATTATGACTTGAACAAATGTAAAAAACACAACAGTCATTCTTTGCTGTGGAGGCCCAAACCATTTCATGACATTACTACCTGGAAGTGTAGCTTTAAAGGCCATTAAAACCACTACAGTTTTGCCAAGAACACAGGAGATACAGAGAACAAAGGTGATACCAAACGCTGTGTGTCGCAGCATGCAGGACCAATCAGAGGGAGCTCCGATGAAAGTTAATGAACATAAGAAACACAGAGTCAGAGAGAAGAGCAGCAGGAAGCTCAGCTCAGAGTTGTTGGCTCTGACAATTGGAGTTGTTCTGTGATGAAAGAAAATAGCTGCTGTTATGATGGCCAGACAGGCCCCACTAACAGAGAATGCAGCCAGGATGATTGCCAGGACTTCATCATAGGAAAGAAACTCCACAGGTTTGGGGAAACAAGCGTCTCTTTGTGCATTAGGCCACAATTCACTGGGACACGGGAAACAGTCTGGAGAATCTAGAACAAATAAATAAAAAAGTATTCAGAACTCTTTGATTCCACATTGGAAAAGTTATACAAGTATTAGAAATTAAATTGCCTGTTGTGTTACTAATCTCTCCTTCAGGACATGGTATACAATCATAGCAGCAGATGGGTTTTCCTTTCTGCAGGACTTTACGACTTCCTGGTGGACAACTCTCAGAGCACACTGATGCTGGGACCTGTTAGAGACATGTAATTGTTATATATTTAACATTATATGTAAGCAGAAAACATACTGTTTTGCATCAGGTCTTTCAAATGTAGTTGTCAAACTTTTATCCTTTGTCTCTTTACTTGTGTACCACCCTCCACCCAGCGTAGATTCTTGCTGATATGAAACTCCTGTCCTTTAGGCAGTGATGCATCATAGTACCCTACTGTTACCAGCTCAATAACTCCACGCTCACTCTTCTGCCAGTTGACCAGCTCATAAAAAGCTACAGGATCCCCATTAGCATCAAATGACACAGGGTAACCATTGCGAGAAAAGTTGACTTTTTTCAGTTTAGCTAGCACCTATAACAGAAAACATGAATTTAAAGTAAACAATAGACACTGAAACATTTTATTCTTCTTAAAACAATATGTAGGACTTTTTCTTTTATAACAGACCTTTGCAGGCTCAAGTCCAATGTTTTTGTCACACCAACTCGTGAAGTTTGTTTCCACACACACAGAGTTGTGAATAGCATGAGCTATTGCGTAAACAGCCTTGTACACCATGTTGGTAATTCTTAACTGAGATGTGTCAGTGTACGGGTTTTGGAGAGTTTTTAGGTCCTCCGTTCCATTACACACTTTTGATCTTCTATCTGGATCAGCATCTAGACACATGAAATGAGGTCATAATATTTTACACGTACAGGTTTACATGTAGCTTTATATTAAAATTACAGTCAAGTCATGTTATTTGTAAATTCAAATTTTGTGAATATAATATTCATTAAATATTATGTATACCTATAGTTGAGGATGTCCCATTTTGCATAGATGTTTATGAAAGAAAAGCAAATAAAAGTGAAAAGTGACTAAATCTAACTGTATTTAGTTGCACAACATAAAAATATTAAAGCATTCTCACATTGTGTCAGCGTGCAGCTGAAGGAATCCTCCCAGAACTCAGTCAGCACAGAGGAGGCAGCTACTTCAGAGGGAGAAAGCTCCATTAGGAACTCTCTCAGACCGGGGATTACAGATTTCTGAATGGCAACTCCGATGGCTCCAGCACAGAAGCTGAAGCTTATTAAGTACGGGTCAGTTATCCAGTCCTCGCTTCCGATCCACTGACGAGGTGGTGGAAGCTTCAGAGCCAGCTCTTCTAACAGCACCCTCATTTCTCCTGATGCTGCAAATGCCACGACAACTACAGCTGTCGAACTGGAGAAATAATAGATTGTGTTAAATTACCAAAAAGTGACAACGTATTTTCTGTTTTGCTCAAAATTAAAATTTAAAGCTCATTAACCGACGATTGATGCGTCTTATTTTATTTTGAATTTAAATTACGAACAAAACAACTATAACACGTTTTTTACAGATAAATATACAAATCTTAATTTGTGTGGGCTTTAACATTTTTTGTGTTTGCAGAAACCTGCGGATGACATCAGCTACTCTCTGGATCTTGCTACGTGGGTCGGTCCGATAGAAGGATACGGAATATTCCACACAGATTCCCTCTCTCTGTGCTGCAGCAAGAAAAGATGCCATCCCATGATTTCCATAATCTGAGTCAGAGCGGACAGCTCCTATCCAAGTCCAGCCAAAGTGTTTCACCAGCTTGGCCAGTGCATCAGCCTGGAACTGGTCACTGGGTGTTGTTCTGAAAAACGTTGGGTACTGCTGCTTGTCTGACAGACAGGAACACGTGGCAGAGTGGCTGACCTAAAGTAAGAACATTAGTTTTGTAATTCTAGAATTATGAAATCAAATTATCTTAATAATCAGTAGATACATTTCAGAAAACAATCCTATAATAAATTCAGACTACTTACCATAGGCATGTTGAAGGACCTAAAAATACGCAGCATGCTAATAGATGGTGTGGATCCAGACTCACCAACTGCAGCCAGTACTACACCGGACTGAGAGCAATTCTTTCCATAGTAAAACACAGGGTCCTGGTCATTTGAGAGTTGAAATGCCACGTGCACTGCCACTGGAACTGAGGCACACGAGTCGTAGATCTGATATCCTAGTCTGATGCCCGGCAGCAGCTCTGTGCTGTTGTTGATCTCCTCAATAGCAAAGATCATGGTGCGAGAGAAACGCAGTTCCCGAGGAATGAGGCTGCAAAATATCAGTCAAGTGCTGGCATTTTATATGAATACACAGCGATAATGAAGGTTTTTCTAAACTATCATTATTTTAATTCATCACAATGTTAAATACAAGTTCATCTACATCATGATTTTTATGTTAAAACAAAACAATATTTCAAAATGCAAAAACTAATGTATGTGTCCAGATAAATTGTGTTTACACATAAAACAGTGTTAACTTCTTTATTTTTTTAAACTTGTAGGTAAAATCTACATATTAAACTTTGCGTTCACATGGTTAATTTATACATGTGGAAAACTACATGGATTTAAAATTAGAACCTTTACTTAAAAATGTCAAAATTTGAAACCAAGCACAAAATTTCCTTTTGTACATATCTAACATCCAGAGATCATCTTTGCTTTCACCACTCCGGTCTGTGACTGACCTCCCGGTGCACCTTGAGCTTTCAGGCTCGGCTGTGTAGTTATAAACCACCGTGTACGGATTGTAGTGGATCGAAAAAACACCTCCAATAATAAAATCCCCATCCTTTGAGAACGCAGATGAGCGAGGTTTACCCTGCAGTAAACATTTCATCAATGAAGCCTGAGCACCGGCTCCAGCATCAGACTGAGCCTCGATAGGCTCAGTCTTTTGTTTTAGAACATCCAGAGACCCGCTCCAAACAACACTCGTAAGTGCTAATCTAAGGCCAATAAAGATAGATCTGATCTTCATTTTTTTTTATCTGGACTGATGTGGGTATGGGTGTTTCACTAGTTTATGTACCTCCTCTGTTTATTAGCCTTTCATCTTTTTTTTTTTTTTTTACACATGCGTTCAGAACATGTCAACCTCAGCTGTTTAGATCAGGCCAGACAGGAAGTCAAACATGAATGCTGTGTAAAACATTCAGAAATAAAAATAAATAAAAGTTACAAGCAGTTTTCTAGTTGCTTAACTAGTTTAATAAAAGTAAGTCATTTCCTGTGAAACCTGCAAAGCCAATATAAACGGAGCAGATAATAAACCATGGACCTTTGGGAGAAATGACCTGCACTTGTAAAGCACCTTTCACAGTCAGAGGACTCCAAAGCGCCGTACACTACAGCACATCATTCATCCATTCACACACCGATGGTGATGAGATACATTGTAGCTACAGCTGCCCTGGGGCACGCTGATGGAGGCAAGGCTTCCAAGCACAGGCGCCACCAGTCCCTTCGACCACCACCAGTAGGGAAGGTGGGTTAAGTGTCCAAGGACACAACAGCAGAATTCTCTGTCCGGTTTCTGGATCAAACCTGCAACCCTCCGATTACTGGACAATCGGTTCAACCGCCTTCAAAATGTGGATACATGCTGCCATCTTTCTCCTTGGTTGTTATCACAAGAGCTACTGAAATATGATAGCTTTTGCAAATAATCAGTGATTTTGTGACTTCACTAGACGAGCATTATGGAACACTTTTGTTGCTGTTGTTCTTGAGGTCGGTAGGGAGCTCATGGGCTAAATGCATCTAAAACGTTATGCAAGGCTTACACACCCAGTGGAAAGATTTGGTTGGATTCAGCATAATGTGAAAACATGATAAAAGTTAATAAAAAATGAACTGTGTGACAAAACAAAATTGAAATAAATGAAACAATAAAAGATGTGTGTAAACTAAGTTTTCCTAAATGTTTTATTTTATTAAAGTGACTGTGTGTGTTTTCACAGACAGTAGGGGGCAGTAAATAGCTAAATCATTGCAAGCAAGCTGTATTTTTGTGTTCAACTAAAGCCTAGTCCACACGTAGCTGGGTTTTTTAAAAATGAATATCCGCCCCTCCAAAAATTTGCATCCACACCACCTCGTTTAAAAAAAAACTCTGTCCACACGTACCCGGATAGATACGTTGTTAAGGACATGCCAGACCTGTAGGCGGCAGTACTTCCGCCGTTCTTAACCTCGTCCTTCGTCTGTGGTCTTCCACAAGGAGCAGTAATTCCGCTTGCAAAAACAAACAAGCAAAAAGTGCTTGGACAATTGATAAAGCGAGCGCAGCTCTGAGGGTATCCATGCTGTCGGCTAGAGTAAACACAGGTCGCACACGTGATGTCAGCATTTTTCTGTCGCGGAAAGTGACGTTGCGGACCTTAAAACTCCGGTTTTGTCTGTCCACACGCAGACACCCAAAACGGAGAAAACGCAGATCTTCACTTTGGCCGGAGTTTTTAAAAAGATCCGTTTTCGTGTGAAAAGACTCCGTTTTCGTGTGGATGACAGGCCAAACGTAGAAAAATATCTATGTTTTGGCACATCCCTGGCTACGTGTGGACAGGGCCTAAGACCTTACCAACGGATGGCCATTAGGGTCAAAATATCTGGGAGGACCACCTTCAGCAGCATGACTAACGCATCAGACTCCCTTTCATCACTGGCAGCAAGTGAAGAGGTACATTTGAAAACTGACAAGGTTCCTTAACGGTGAAAGTGTTGTAACAGTGTGTGTAGCGTAGTTAACTACATACTAGAATTAACGCTGTTTGCTATCAGCTTTGTTAGATTCTGAGAAAGCTCAGACAAGTTGACAATGAAGCTTCTATCATATTTAAATATCTAGGATATTATATATTCAATAGAAGTTCATATGCCAACGAGCTTGGTATATTTTTAATCCAACGATTAATGTTTAATTTAAGATAATTAAATTTAATAGCAAAAGTTTATTTATTTAATCAGAAGTTTAAAGGAATCTTTGTTTTTTCAATAACCAAAACTGTACACAATTCTGTGTTTAATTTCAAAGAAGAGTCAGGTTTTTAAATGACAGTTTGGAAATGACATTTTTTAACAGACAATTTGATATTAAAACTTGTTTCAAAAAGCAAACCTGTGACTGAATGGAAGCTGAAATGAAAATGCAAATTTTTGGATGCGCAAATGAATATCAGAAGGTTTCTTTCAGCGAGAGAAGCGTTTCTGGGTGCAAAGTTGGTTTTGCAGCTAACTGAGTCGTTTCTTAGGAAGAACAGCATACAGACGCAATCTATACCTCACCCAGTATCAGGAGACCCTCTTCTGGATCCGAGATGTCAGGTGGAGATGACGTCCTCCAGGCACGAGGTTGGTAGAAGGACCTTAGTGCGACCAAATCGGTGCTGAGATGTCTCCGTGGGCCACTCGACTGGTGAACCTATTTGCGTCTCAAAATCAATAACTCTGAAGGAGTTTTGCGTCAGCTGATTACAGGTGCGTTTATTCGAAGCAATTCTATCGGGGTGACAGAATGGTTATTAGAGATTTGGGCGAACGTCCCTCTTCTCCTGGTATGGTTCAAGAAGTGAACTTTTTGCTGCGGGATTTGGTTTTAACAAAACCCTCAGAACACGCCCTCTTAGCAGCAGAAAGCTTGGTCATGAGGTAACGACATGTGAGATGGTTTACCCTTTACCCCGGATCCCTTCTTCTGGATGAGGTGGTTAACGTGCAAGATGACCTTCTGGTTTGCTGAACACACATTATGGATCATCAACAATAATTATTATTGTACCCAAAGCATAATAAGTCATTTCAGTAATTAAAATAAATTTATACTGAATGAAGCGATTATTTTTGATGGTTGTAATAACAGTAATAAAGTCAAAAGTTTATTAAAATTATTATTTAAAATTATTATTGTGAAACTTGAAGTGTCCTTCATCTTGGGACGGAACAGCAGCAGATAAAGATGGTTTCAGCAGACATCACGACACCTGGCGGTTAATCTGTGAGGCAAAGTTACAGAACGACCCAGCTTGACCCAGCTGGGAAAATGTGACCTTTGTCACAAATTAGAGGCCATTCATGACGCTACAGTTTGTCACAAATCAGTAAATGCATTTTGTCCTCACGGGCTTTGATAGAAGGAAACACCTAACATGGCGTTGCCCAGAAACCTTTCTTTTAGATGTGATTTTGATGGTTATGAAACCACCAATATTTTCCTGGGCATCATTTAATTCATTTTAAACAAGATTTCAATAGATACTTCCAGAGATTAATGGTAAAAACTACACATTGTCACTTGAAGAATTTAGGATGAAATAACTTTGTAGGACGGTCTAAATTGTTGTTGAAATAGTCTCATGGCCATCTTGTTTTATACCTTCATGTTACATTTATTTTTTATTCATTACAAATTTCTTAGAGTTCTTCTCAGGCTGAAATAAGATGATGAAACACTTCGGAGCAAATATACACAGAATCAGTCCAAAACTGGAGGCCAGTATAGCAAATATCTCCACAGCTACAGTGAATTTTCCAGGAGAGCTGACATATGCTGGGATGAAGGTGAGCCACACTGCACAGAATATCAGCATGCTGAAGGTTATCAGCTTGGCTTCATTAAAATTATCAGGTAGTTTCCGAGCTAGAACAGCTAACACAAAGCAGAAAACAGCCAGCAGGCCAATGTACCCAAGCACAGCCCAGAACCCAACAGCAGAACCTAATGCACATTCCAGGATGATCTTCTCCTTGTATGTGCTCAGATTCTTCATTGGGAATGGGGGGCTGAGGAACAGCCACAGAGTACAGATTATAATTTGAATAAATGTGAAAAACACAACAGTCATTCTTTGTTGTGGAGGCCCAAACCATTTCATGACATTACTACCTGGAAGTGTAGCTTTAAAGGCCATTAAAACCACTACAGTTTTGCCAAGAACACAGGAGATACAGAGAACAAAGGTGATACCAAACGCTGTGTGTCGCAGCATGCAGGACCAATCAGAGGGAGCTCCGATGAAAGTTAATGAACATAAGAAACACAGAGTCAGAGAGAAGAGCAGCAGGAAGCTCAGCTCAGAGTTGTTGGCTCTGACAATTGGAGTTGTTCTGTGATGAAAGAAAATAGCTGCTGTTATGATGGCCAGACAGGCCCCACTAACAGAGAATGCAGCCAGGATGATTGCCAGGACTTCATCATAGGAAAGAAACTCCACAGGTTTGGGGAAACAAGCGTCTCTTTGTGCATTAGGCCACGATTCACTGGGACACGGGGAACAGTCTGGAGAATCTGAAAGGAAAATCAGTTAGCAACGGTATATTTAATAATTATGGGAAAACATTTTTGATTGTACCTGTTGTGTTACTAATCTCTCCTTCAGGACATGGTATACAATCATAGCAGCAGATGGGTTTTCCTTTCTGCAGGACTTTACGACTTCCTGGAGGACAACTCTCAGAGCACACTGATACTGGGACCTTATACAGCAATAGAATCAAAATAAAATTTCATTTAAATACTTAGTTCCTTTCAGTTAGCAGTGCATACAATATTTACACTCTACACTTACTTCAGTCCCACCATCCATCCAGGTTATGTTCCTGTTGATATGAAACTCCTGTCCTTTAGGCAGTGATGCATCATAGTACCCTACTGTTACCAGCTCAATAACTCCACTCTCACTCTTCTGCCAGTTGACCAGCTCATAAAAAGCTACAGGATCTCCGTTAGCATCGAATGACACAGGATAACCGTTTTGTGAAAAGTTTACTCTTTTCAGTTTTGAAAGCACCTATAAAAATAATGGAGACAACGGGCAGTCAAATATTTGTCTGTTGTGATGTTGTCAAAGTTACTTTTAAGACGAACTTTGAAAAAGCATTTTTAACTAACCTGTTTGGACTCCAGTTGGATGTTTTTGTCACACATAATAGTAAAATTTGCTTTATGACACACAGCATTGTGAATGGCATGAGCTATAGCATAAACAGCTTTAAACACCATGTTACTAATTCTTAACTGAGATGTGTCTGTGTACGGGCTTTTGAGCAATGCTAGGTCTTCGGTTCCATTGCACAACCATTTTTTTGGATCAGCATCTAAAGAGACGTAATCAGAAGAGATTTTTCTTTTTATATCACTTCATAAACCCACAGTGCAACTTTGAGAATGCACGACTTTTTATCAAAGAAAGCAAAATTTTTCTGTTTCTTTTCAGTTAATCTCATTAAATGGCAATGACATTTTAAGTTGCACAGAATTACTGGATAGTTATCAGAATGAAAAAAAAAAGATCTTGTTAAAAAGTGTAAAACATCAATTATCTTACTTTTTGTCAGTGTGCAGTTGAAAGCATCTTCCCAGAACTCAGTCAGCACAGAGGAGGCCACTACTTCAGGGGGAGAAAGATCCAGTAGGAACTCTCTCAGACCTGGGATGACAGATTGTTGAATACCAACTCCGATGGCTCCTGCACAAAAACCGTATCTCCTCAAGTACGGGTCAGTAATCCAGTCTTCACTTCCTATCCACTGATGAGGTGGAGGAGGATCTCGAGCCAGCTCCTCTAACAGATCTCTAATATCTGCAGAGTCTATAAATGCTACAACAACCATCGCTGTTGACCTGAAAAGACATTAAAAATGGATTAATCAGTGGCAGATGTTCTTTACAAAAATCATTCTGTTTAAAAAAAGAACAGATAAATATACATTTATACTTTAAATATTCCACATCAGTAGTGGATCAGGAAATTTATGTTTTTTTTAAAGGACACGGTTCTAAATTGCTAAAATAAAAGTCAAAACGAGTGTTGTGGAAACCTGCGAATAGCATCGGCTACTTTTTGGATCTTGATTGGTGAATCTGTCCGATAGAAAGACACAGAATACTCCACACAGATTCCCTCTCTCTTTGCTGCTTTAAGAAAAGACGCCATCCCATAATTTCCATAGTCTGATTCTGAGCGGACAGCTCCTATCCAAGTCCAGCCAAAGTGTTTCACCAGCTTGGCCAGTGCATCAGCCTGGAACTGGTCACTGGGAATTGTTCTGAAAAATGTTGGGAACTGCTGCTTGTCTGACAGACAGGCACACGTGGCGTAATGGCTGACCTACGCAGGCACACACACACACACACACACACACACACACACACACACACACACACACGACACACAAAGAAAATATCTTTCTTGACAATAGAAATGTTTGACACAATTTAGATTTTCTGTTTGTAATACATTTAGCCTCCTTACCAAAGGGATGTTAAAGGCTCCAATGATGTGAGACACACTGATGGACACAGTAGATCCCGAGTCTCCAACAACAGCCAGCACCACACTAGATCGGGAGCATATGCTGTCCTTGTAAAACACAGGGTCCTGACCATTTGATAGGTGGAACGCTGCCTGCATGGCCCCGGGAACAGAGTTGCATGAATCATACATCTGATATCCAAGTTTGATGCCGGGCAACAGCTCTGTGCTGTTGTTTATCTCATCGATAGCAAAGATCATTGTGCGAGAAAAACGCAGTTCACGCGCGATAAAGCTGCACAAAATAAACCAGGTGAGAGCAAGCACTTCATAAAGAGTTTGAGGAAAAATAAACAAATTAAACCTTGAGTGTGTTTGAAGTAAAAGAAAAGATAAAATGTGGAAACAAATACATTTGTAGTTAAAAGTATTGAAATAGTTGTTTCATTTCACATAAATGTTCAACAGATTTTTACTTAATTTAACTTCATTTGCTCCTTAAACAAAAGAAAAATACAAAAATAAATAAAAATATACACGTGTGGGTGTCAGTTCTAAAATGGTGCTTTTTTAGTTTTGAGAATCGACACATTGTCAAAACTCTTTGCCCTTTAACCTTTAAGTACACATTTATTATTTCTGTTATTTATAAATCTAGTGAAACCTAGCACATTAAAGTAGTATTTTTCTAAACTGAAATAGAAATAATTCCTTTTAACAAATTGTGACAAATAACAGCATTTTACTTTGTACATTTCTAACAACATTGTCCTTCCTTTCTTCTCTTACTAACCTCCCCATGCATCTTAAAGGTTCAGGCTTGCTGGTGTAGTCATTAATCACTGAGTGCAGCTTGTAGTGTAATGAGAAAACACCTCCAATGACAAAGTCCCCATCCATTGAGAATGCAGCAGTCGGAGGGGTGTTTTGCAGATCACATTTCATGGATGAATTCTCAGAACTGACACCAGCAACACTCACAATCCCAACAAGCAGTTTCAGACTTTCCAAAGATCCAGCCAAGGCAATGACGGACATCAGCTCCAAGAAACTCATAGCTGATCGCAGACCAATAGAAATAGATCCGATCTCCAGTGCATAGCTGTCTGAATTTGGATGCAAGTGTTGTTTTATGCACCTCCTCTAATATACATCACGTGATCATAAGAATCAAAGACTCCATCAACAAGGGATCTTAGATTAGATCATTTAATGACTCCATAGTTATTATTATTTGTTGCATTTTCTCTCCATTTTCAAATGATTTTGGGGCGACGGTGGCACAGGAGTTAAGTGCTCGCCCCGTGTATATATATATATATATATATATATATATATATATATATATATATATATATATATATATATATAGTTAAAGATCATTTATTTAACATGTTGGAGTTGGCCCAAAAGGCTACTTTTCATTTACCATTTTAAAACCAATGTTTTGAAGGGATCTACCTTTCTCAGTGGTCTAGTGGTAGAGTGTTCGCCCTGAGACTGGGAGGTCAGGGGTTCGATTCCTGGTCGGGTCATACCAAAGACTTTGAAAAAATGGGACCCAATGCCTCCCTGCTTGACACTCAGCATAAAGGGGTTGGATTGGGGGGTTAAACCACCAAATAGTTCCTGAGTGTGGCTTGTCTGGAGCTCACCGCTCCCCCAGGGGATGGGTCAAATGCGGAGAATAAATTTCGCACACACGCCTGTGTGTGACAACTAATGGGACTTTAACTTTTTAACTTTAGAAAGCAATAATGGATAGAAATTATTCAGTGACAATAAACAAATTCCTGCCTGTTGTTGAGGGTCTGACCTCATGAGGAAATTACTATGCAGTGATTTTCTCCAAAATGACTGTGCTTAAATTGCTCTGGAAAGCAAATAATCACATCAGCGCCAAGAAACTTCATTTCCCATGATGCTTTGCACACGGAAGCATTGGGTGATATTACCGCCTAGTACCAGAAACACGTTCTGCACATGTGCGGGAAGCCGTGGAGCTTTTCCCGCGAACTAAGACCATAAATCTTCAGCAGAGACAAAGAAACCTCGTTCTTTTGCCCAGGATACCTGGCGGTAAGGACACGCTTGTCGAACGCTCCGACAACTTGAGCACGCGGAAGCTCTAAGTGCCCAAGTTGAGCCACGCAACCGCTGGAAACCACTAACTCCATCGGGACCTGACTGGGAACGAGCGGAGCTCCATCCAGCTCTCAGAGACGCTGTAAGTTGTCAAACTCAGCACAAAAGAAACTTCGTTCTCTTTGTGTCCAGCCCGTGGAGAAACACTCGTGGAGCCAAACAACGGAGAAAGCATCAAACCGACGGATGACGCTGAAAACTGCGGAGAAAAACGGAGAACCGTCAAATCAAACAGCTGGGGACGCCTTGCTGCTCTGGTGATCAGAAAGCTCATTTCTCTCTCTCCTTTTCTTCTCCCGTTTCCTCTATAGTCCAGAATAAGCAATAAAACCGCGCTATTGCTTAAAAAGTAGCTTCGTGTTTTCCTCTTTCGCTCCCAATTCGTCCTTCGGGTCATTTTGAAAGAATAAACTGCTTATTGATCATTGTTTGGTATCTTTAAATGTTTTCTGCTTGGCCATGTGGTTAAACTAAAAGATATTATTCGTGATTAATCTTTTGTGTTGTTTCATGATCCTTTGAAATGTTTTGAGTGATATAAGGTTAAGTTACTACTGATTCTAAGCCACTAAGTGTTCGGGAAATTTGAAAACTTTACACATCCAGGTCTCCTGTGGGATGCGAGGGGAGGGGAAGAGCCCCACACACACTCACAGCTCACTCCCCCCACCTACTCTGAGGAACAAAGACCCATTCATCTCACACACACACACATACATACACACAAAACACCTTGAACATTATTTTGAATATACATCCTTTTATTATATCACATGGTTATTATTCATTTATGCCACTGTTTATTCATTTGACAAATTGTTAATTAAACGTTATAAAATTCAGATTTTCGTCTCCAGTAGCTTTGTTGTGTCGAAGAGAAGTCTCTGCTCCAAGGATTCTACGAACTTCAAGAAAGACTGATAAGAGTTTTGGATTAAATTTTTCCCCGGTTAAAGGGGAATGGTGCCCCGTATATCTAAGAATATCTTAATTAATTAATAAATCAGTAAATATTTACATATTTACAGAATTTATTGAAGAATCCAAAAGTAAGTTGAAGCTTACTAATTGTTCGCTCCTAATAACCCCAACATTAATTGGTGCCCCGTGTGAGGCTTGGATACACAGAGATTTCTATCCGGCACAAACAAACAAATAAATCCAAAGAGCTTGAATTAAAAATAATCAGTTGTTCAGCCTTGAACCAGCAACAGAGTGGTGCTGATTTCGCTGAGCAGGAAGCTGCATCGAACTCTCACCAGTAACTCAGTGCTTCTTTAAAGGTGCAACGTGTAAATTAATTCTGGTTGACTTTTAGGTTAAAATTCAGTTTTTCCTTAAAGGTGCAACGTGTAATTAATTCTGGTTAACCTTTTAGGTTAAAATTCAGTTCTTCATTAAAGGTGCAGTGTGTAAGTAATTCTGACTAACCCTTTTAGGCTAAAGTTAACTGCTAATTTAGCGACTTTAACTCACAGTGGCTATTATAACTAACTGAAACCTTCACTCAAAGACTGATAACACCCTGTTTGCTAATATTCTGAAGGAATAACTAGCACATTTAACACTGCAAGTGTTGTAAGACGTTGCTACGGCAACGCACCTGCTTTTGCTAAAATACTGAAAGGAATAGTATTTTAAGCGTCAGTCAGGGACAGAGTAGTGAACTGACCAACTCCCAGCAATCAGGTGGCGCTGCGGCCCACGACTATGAACCTGGCCTACTTTCTGGACAAATATTGTCCAAACTGGTCGCGGTTGCTCGAGAACCCGACTACCCTTCTAGGGATTTCACTGAAGAACAGCGTAGCGTCGAGCTAGAAGCTGTAATTGATCAAATAGAAAACCCGGATGGTACAAAACCAATCCAGGTTCACTTAGCTAAGTTAGCCTTGATCCTCTATCAGAGAGAACTCCAACATGATCAAGAGATCATGAAGCTCCAGAGCATGCTAGCTGAAAGGCAGCAAAATGGATGGCAGAAGGATGACGAGGAGGAAGACAGCACCGATTCTGGGGAAGATGGGGAGAAGACCCCGTCCCCTTCTGCTGATGACAACAGACAGTGGGAAGGGGGGGAACACCGTGACTCTGAGGCTGAGCCAGAGTGCTCTCCCACACCGGTACGAAAGCAAGCCGGCAAAGCCAACCAGGGTCCGCCCAGGACGATCGCCAAAGACCAATTGGTTTCCTCCACCCAAGGAAGCGAGGGACCGCCGTCCCGCCGTAAAGGTAGGCTACCTCCTGATACGTCTCCAAACGATAATCAACAGTATGTGGTGTGGGACTCTCTGGACGGACGCACGCCGCAGGGGAGAGATGAAGCTTATCTGTCCCAATCTTCGGCCCCGTTCCCTACACACACTCTAGGGCATTCAGGACCACCTAGGGGCCGAGGGCAGTTCGCCCTCGAACCCCAGGTTGGACCACCACCCTCATCTTCACGGCCTTCTCAATCAGTGAGAAGTCGACCAGCTGAGCGGCACCTCTATTTAGACCGCTCCCCCAGTCCACGAAGGGTGCAAGGTGCCGGCTGGGGTTATGCACAAGCCCAACCTGCACCTCAACCATCCACCCATCCTAGCTACTCCGGTATTCGGCATGCAAGCAACCAGCTGCAGGACAAAGCATCATACGCCAATCCGTACCAGGACAAAGTGTATTACGCAGAAGCCCCAGTTGAAAGACGCAGGCTGCACTACGCAGACGTGCCCCGGGAGGTGGACCTCCCAGGACACCCACGTGACGTGCCAGCAGCCCGCCACAACATGCCAGACCCCGATTTGGGCCCCAGGAGTCAACATTGGGAGCCCAGAGCACACCAGCGATATCCAGCGCCCTCTGAGACAGACTGTGGGTCAGAGTCAGAGGATGACGCGCCGTACCGTGAGTCAGGGCTCCGTGTACGTCAAATTGAATCGCTAGCTAAAGACATAGAACGCTTTGATCCTAACACCAATGAATCCAACGTTGACGATTATCTCAGGGAGATAGAACGTTGTCTGCTTGATCTTCCAGCACCTTCTTCAAGGGAAAAGCTCAAGCTAATTTGGAAAACCACATCTAGAACGGTGCACGGTTTCATGGAAACTCTACCACCTGACATTCGTGATCGGTACTCCTCGCTCTGCCGAGCGTTGAGAGATGAATACGCCACGTATGCAGACTCTGCGTCAGCTACAATGGGGGCCTTCTCCATCAAACACGGGAGGAACGAACCCCCCAGAGAGTATTATCGCCGACTCAAAAGTGCTTATTTCCAAGGTCGAAACGGCCCTGGGCTCGAGGAAGACCCTGCCTTCAGATCCCTGTTCATTCACAACCTGCACGAGTGTGTTTGATCCGAAGTCTCAATGTATTGTCGGATGAAAAAACTGACAACTCAGGAGATTAGGAGATATGCTCAACAGGCTTGGGAAGCCGGCGGAAAGCCCCAAAAGCCTGACGCACATCACCGCGTCATGCACCTAGCTCCCGACACCGAGCCGCGTTTGGAGCTTGAAGGCACAGAAGCTCCACCCACTAAGCCAAAATCTGCTAAACCTAGACCTGCTAAACCGCGAAAGCAGTCCCAATCTCCTCAACAGGGGAAGGGGGGTGCTGATTGGCCGCCTAGGTCTGGACAATCAGACAGGAAGTGGCCCAACCAAAACCAACGGCAGGCAGGTCGGAACAGTGGAAAGTTTAAGGAGCGCCGCCCACAGGTAGGTCCCGATCGAAAGTCCGCAGGTGAGTACTTGACCAAAGCCGACCTCCAGGAGATGTTTCAGCA